CATTGATCACGCATTGAAAACTAGGTTCTTCATTCAATGATCGATCCCGCATGGCCTGAATTCTCTCTCGACTATAAAGGTGAAGCGTCACAATAATATCACTCAATTGACTAAATGGGCAAACCAAGGCGGTTAATTTTATACGTTTGACTTACGAAGGGGATCAAACTCGTTCCCTTGTGACCTACGAAGCGGCAAGGCTGAACTATCCCGTGTTACGATAATCGAATAGGCTGTTCAACACTGAATGAAATTTAACGTATTTACGAGTCGTATTTACACTCATGGGCTAGCCAGAGAAAATCTCATAGGGGGACTATGTGCACTGTCCAGTCGTGTGCGATTATACCAAGTGTGACACACTGACATTATGTCATTGGAAGCGGCGGTAGATTAGTATAAGAGCCGTGAAGATCCTGGTTAGAATAGGTCTTCAACAACCCATGCTTGCCGTAAGAGGCGACTAACGGGATCGGGTGGTCAGGCCCGTTGACTTGGTTGGTGCATGTCATCGTATCCTAATTGCGTGGATCGATGCTCGTGACGTCATAATTGGGCATAGGTTATCACATCTTAGATCGCCCTCTACCATAGATTTACGCGTATGGCTATTTACAATTATTTTATTAAATGACGGAAAGAAAATTAAGAAACGTACGTACACCAATATTGATCATTCAAACCGTTGTGTTTGCTTTATGTGTGTGTACATTCCTCAATATGTTTTTGTTGACATGATTAGTTTATGCTTTATTGACAACTAGCATCAAGTCAATATTATAACATCACATATATTTGTACAAGTATCACTTGTCCCCAACTTGATGCAAATAAAACTTTTTTCTATAAAAAAAATCTAGGGGGGCAATATCTCATTGCCAGTAGCGAGAGTGATATGCATCATGTAACTTGAATAGGTAGACATACAACGTGGCTTTGAATGACTTCAATCAACCTGCTGGGGCTGCCCATTAGCCAGAGACTAAGGCCCCTTTAAGAATATCTGCATGGCATCTATACACATCATTAGCGGCATTAATATAAAGAGTATTAAATATTCATTCATCATCAACGGTGAAGATAAAACATTGATAAATCAGAATGCGTCATACATAAAAATATTAAATCCAATATGTTAAAGAAACTGTCGTCATAAAATAATGGGTAAAAGACGGCCACTTTTATAGATATATTGATAGCCACTCAACCAATCACAGTTCAGTTGTGCGTGACGTCATCGATCTGGAGATCACTTCGGGGATAAATCAATGTATCGCATTGTATAGTCACACACAATAAAGGTTCGATTAGTCAATAGTCACTAATTTCAGATAGTGTCTCATGTAGACCCATGCCTATAATCAACAGTTACACGTTCAGGGCCCGTACCGTTCCTTTCAGTTGGGTGTGGCCTGAAAAGACACGGGTAACTTCACATTGTTTGGTCTGGGGACAGTGTACGCAATTTGTGAAAGGAACGCTATGTAAATCGTAAAACAGTTATTCAATTTATTTTATTATATTTTTCTGGTTTCGGATTTTTTATCTTGGCCCTCTATTACTTACAAGTCACCGTGATATAGCTGGGGTCAAATCAACATTCACTTAATCAGTCCCGTGCAACACATACATACATGTCATATCACAAGGTTGCCACACACACGCTCTTCACCATCACGCCATCGCCCTGCCGCGACACCGAACCCAAAACTTAACTGACAAGTTTTATTGACCCTTTTCGTTTATTTATTTGCAGTATTTATTGACAGTTTGCTCAGCTAAGTCTTTGTTTACCTTTTGTTTTCATCTTACAATTTTCTATATATTTCAATTATTTATTCAACTCCTCTTTTTAATTACTTTAACAATACCTACCATAAAACATTTTCTTAAATTCATTATTCCCCTTAGTGTGTATTCTGGGGTCAGGTTTGATACACTTATTACACCAGTTCTATCATCCTTTATGGCATTCGTCACCACTCGCCTCTTTCCGTAACCTGAAAAGAAGCTATTTGGCTTGTCCCGGAATAACTCGAGTTGGTCACGAATGCCCTGATGTTATAGTCAGCGCTCTGTACAGGTGAACTGATAAAACCAATGTCGGTGGCCCCTTTACGGAATTCGTTCGTTCGTTCGTTCGTCCGTCCGTCCGTCCGTCCGTTCATTCGTTCGTTCGTTCGTTCGTTCGACCGAACTTTAACCCAATCAGCTAATAATGAAAAAAATTGGTAAAAAGGGTTCGTTCGTTCGTTCGTTCGTTCGTTCGTTACCCAATCAGCTGATATGGTAAAGTTTGGTAAAAAAAGGTTCGTTCGTTCGTTTGTTCCTTCAACCCCACCTGATCCCGTCCACGAAAGCGAACTCTTCAGAAGTGGACGTGCAACCCCTAATACAATACTATAAGTACACGAACGAACGACTACGAGAGATCACGCAGTTTATAGCCTTGTTTACCGAGTATAAATCAAAATAAATACATGATGGAAAAATATATGCTACATAAACAAATCAATAATTGCCACGCAGTGTTAGATTATGGCCCGTGTCCAAATATAAACAAAGTCGTTGGTGGGAGCCCTTTCCGTGAGCTGTCTTCTAACGTTATAGTTCAGCCTTGATTGAGTGACTGTCATAGCGTGTGTATTGATATTGAGTGTGTACAACCTCGAGGTGCCGCTTTGACAAGGCGCCAACACCAGAATAATCTTTGGTTCTATAAAATGTTATTGAGCCGGAATGGACACATTGATCAGTGTCAATGACTATTTCCGTCTATTCTTTAGGCTGTCAACATGATTTGAATGTACTTCACCATATCAGATGATTGGGTCAAAGTGGAGGAGTGAGAATGATTTTACGCCGCTTTCGACAATAAGTTAGGCACATTGGCGGGATGCTTGTTAATTGGTTCGTTTCGATGCTCAGAATACCAATCACTGGATTGTCTGGTCCAGACTCGATTATTACCAGACCGCCGTCATATAGCTGGGATATTGCTGAGTGCGGCGTTAAACAACAAACAAACAAACAAACGGAGACTGGGCAGCAAGACAATAGCCTTCCTGCTATGTGCCCATGCACGGACTCGAATCCGTCTTCCATCGCAACATGGCTCCCTGTACTTGGATTCCCTAATAAAGTGATCTTTGGAACAACTGAATCCTCTTTATTCAGGAAACTCCTCTATCTGGTAGTAACACGTATCACGTTGCTGGTTCTGGCTGGTTCTGGCTGGTTTCTGAGTAGTTAAACGCCTGACATCGTACGTGCTTGGTCTGTGGAATGTGCAACAAAGCTCGATGATATTTCACTTGTTTCAGTAAATATAAATTGCGGGCAAAAGAAAATATACACATCAAGATTTGATTTGACCAAAACACTTCACCGAAACACCGGAAACTTAAGGTCCAAAACATAACTATGATACCCGTATAAAATACATCCCCATCGATTAACCATTTCTCGTTTGTTTCATTTTAGCCACCATCAAACGTGTGTATACTTTCCTGTGCCCGGCAGTTTACACGCCAAAGGGCATGACATTCAAAGTGCATTAGTGAGAGAGTGTTGTTTATCGCCGCTGTCATCATTATCCCAGCTATATCTCGATGGCCTGTAAATAATGGAGACTCCACAAGGCTAGTGACTAAAAGCATGAACACGATCCTCGTCATCAGGGGACGATGACACGCAATCAGCAAGGACAAAACCCGGATCCTCATATCACCGGGCACAAGTTTGAGGTACAGTAAACTACGGTTATAACGAACACGTTTACAACGAACTGACGGATATAACGAAATTAATTTTTTAGTCCCGACTATTTGCTGTAGTTATGCTGTATATATGCTTATAACGAATTACGGTTATAACGAACCAGAATTAGTAGTCCCTTTGAGCTCGTTATAACCGTAGTTTACTGTATCTATTTTGTCAAGATCTGTATGTTTGTATGCACTTTTGACTATTAGTTTCCAGTGTGAAAGTACGTAGAGGAAGTGGTGTGTAGGGGGAGTGAACAGCACATGATGTCATCATGTAGAGACATACACGCGTTTACAGAGCCAAATATACAGTTTGAGATCATTTTAGAGCAATAAACGGAACACAGGTGTTGTATCATACACATAGACAAAATGCCAAATTTCAAAACATTTTGTACAAAGTGGCCATAAGTATCAAAATTAAGAATATCGCGAAAAAAACATGTGTTGAGTCCCACTGCCAACAACACATCTAACAAATGTAATATTCTGAACAAAAATGGCCCTCAAGACTTTTCAGCTTTCAGTATGGCCGAAGTGCAAAGATCAAAATCTAAAATATCGCAAAATACGGAAGTCATTCGTGGAGCCCCTATTCCTAACTACATGTACATAATTTAATTACCTTTTGAACAAACGGAGTAATGGCCAAATATTATGGTCGTTGTTTATCGTACAATAAGACACTGCAGTGACATTTCAAACCATGAGAAGCGCATTCTTATAAGAGATATGAACATCATGTACAGTCTCCTTAAGGATGTTGACAAAAAATATTTACCCAAATTTAAATCATGATTCCCTGAATAGAATCTGACCTCGGAAATGTCGGGCATGTCCAATTTACTAAAAGGGGAGTTAGGTTTGGTATTTCCCACATATTCCTACAATCCTCGCGTCGATCATCTGTACCTTTTCTCATCATACCCATTGTCATTTCTCTCCAGCTTCTGAGTACGATCGTTCAGCCATTGCGTTCATCTGTGCTGTCCAGCTACATCTATGGGGTACAACTCACTAGACACTTCCCTCTCAAAAATAACGTCGACCTATTTACGACGTCATCACGTTGCGAGCGCATGTTCGAACCTCCAGAAATGACGTCAGGATATAACAATGTTATATCGTGAAATAAACCACGCTTTGTTCTTTATTATTCTTTGCGATTTATCGCGTAGCTATCTTATAAAGGAGGGTAAACTACAGTCCCGAACACAAGCAATAACGAACAAATGACATGTGTAACAGCGCGTTTATTACAGTCTATCTCAGTGAAGAGAGCAGTAGATGACAACTTAGAAATTTTCATTATGATTACCTGCGCCGTGTAAGAAGTTTGAAAATATCCTTTCATACCAATTTTGAGGTCTAACAACAATTGAATGAAGTTTCTGAAACATATTAACAGCCAAGTTATTGCACACCTGGCCTGAATTCGAAGTTGAACTTTTAATACAAGGATCGAGAGTTACAAAACTACCAATATGCCCTCTCGTTATCTCTTTTCCGACAGAATTTAGTAACATGGAAACTACACGGAACCTCTACAGTTAACCACTACAATGTACAACCATCTGATTATTGAAAAAAAAAAAAAAGCATATCAAGTTATTTACAAAAGAATTACATGTGTACTTGATCAAAATATATCACCATCGTAAAGTACTTCTTTCCAGTTGAACACACTTAACATTCTAAACATACTGAGTATACATTCCGAGTGCGCTCTCTTGCTGAGCGAGGCGATTGGCAAAGGCGTAGAACCGTTGTCTTCGCCGGAAGTAGCTGCCTTCAAGTGCCAGCCAGACCAACAGCACCCCAACGGTCAAGGTCGCGCAGAACAGAAGGAAGGACAAGCAAATGGAAAACGTTATGTAGGAGTCCATCCGGGCTTGACCGGTGCTCCAAGGGTCAAGGTCAATGCGGTGGAACTCTCGCTCTGTGCTGACGGTGAGGATGCCCGTCGCCGACGTCGTAATGACGAGGAAGAGAGAGAGGGAACCTAGGAACGCCCTTTTGCGACGAGTCATTGGCCGGAGTTGGGAATATTGCTGATATACTGCTTCTATCCGCTGCAACAAATATAATTTGAGTGAGTGAATTGGCATCTTCCCGAGGCAAGGGAGTTAACTGACTATTAAAGTCCAGTTTCCACCCTTGCCGAACTAGGCTGGTATTATGGAGTTACATTTTGTCTGGACTAACGAAGCTATGCATAGTCCAATCAAAATCGCGCACCGAAATCAAAATCCGGTTCGTAAACTGTCGTGCAGATTTCGATCGATTGCAGGATTTGCAAAGCATGTGCACCGCCAACTCGTTGTCAGCAGATATTTTCCAAATCTTTTCATGTTTTTAATCAAGGTGCCCACGTGATTTGATGCATTTCGCGATGTAAGACCCTTTTTATCACAATATAGATCTTGATTATCGATCTGATCGTCCTGACTGAGCGCCACCATTGTGTGTGAAGCAAACGCAAGTGATACGAGAGGTGGAATCTGATTGGTCCATAGGAGAGGCTTAGAAGGGACATAATTGGTAATAGCCACTGGTGGCGCAACGATCGAGCCCAGTAATTCCAGCCTAGTTCGGCAAGGGTTGTAACTGGACTTTTAAAGTCAGTTAACTCCTTTGCCTCGGGAAGATGGTGAATTGGGTTTAACGTCGCTTTTAAAATTATTCCAGTTGTATCACGACGTGTCAGCTTAATGTGGGAGGAGGTCTCAGACGTTCACTTCGGTGAAACCCACGAGCACGGGTATGGTGCTGAGAAACCTATAAACATAATCGGGGCGAACCGGGATTCGAACCCACAGTCATAGGTTTTTGGCGTGCTAATCGCGGTGCCTTAGACGACTGGGCCACCTGTGCCCCCAATATTAATTTGAAAATGAATTGGTGGATATGCTGAGACTTAAGTTTTAGTTTGGCAGAGAAATCGTATAACAGGTACATTTCTAAATTTACATGGAACTGATCAGTACAGTTTGTTTATTTGTTGTTTAACGCCGCACTCAGCAATATTCTATATGACGGCGAACGGTAAATAATCGAGTCTGGATCAGACAATTCAGTGATTGATGTCATAAGCGTCGATTAGCCATCTTACCCTCTGTTGTCTTTCCATGGACGTTGTCCTTGGCGGAGGGGACACACTAGGGAAGACAACTCCGCATAGCTCGCACTTGTTGTTGCGCTTGTAGGTGACCCACTGTATGAGGCAGGACCTGTGCACAGACTCCAGCCCACCTCGACAGTCACATGATGTTGCCGTCATGGGTTCTCCTGAATCACATGTCATATACTACTCAAAAGAAGTTAAGGAAGTTTAAGGGTGTTAATTTAAGATTTTCTTATATATTCTGCCGCTTGATGTCATTTTAGGACCAGGAACAGTTTCCAACAATTAGGGACCGGTCATTTATTGTGGGGGGTGGGAGGATTTTTTTATAATTCAATATAATCTCGAGGGGAAATCAAAGAATTCTTTACTGCCCCTTATATTTACCTGTTTCCTTTTGAGAGAGTTGGCATATTCTGCAGACAATGGATTCGTTGGAACTAGCGGGGCTGATGTCGACGCTGTCTGGTCCCGTCACCCTCAACAACGGTCCATTGGAGGTAGTGTCGCTCTGTAAACAGCGAGTGCGTGAGTGAGTGAGTGTGTATTCCAGTTATATCACGGCGTGTCAGCTTAATGTGGAAGCAAAGCCAAGTGATGTAGGTCTTATGACAGCGGGGGATACCACAAATGGACACCACACTAAGATTCATAAGGAGATTCAAGCTACAACTTGTGATATGATATGTATGTCTGAGTGAGTGAGTGTCAGTGAAAGCTGCATCAATAATTATGCAAATTAAGGGATCTTGGCAAAATTTAAATGAATCCGAAAATAACTTACTTTGCTGGTGGGTGCCCTTTTAAAAAATTGAATGAGGTTTGTACGGAAGCCTTTTAGGGCCATTTGTTTATTTTTTCATTTTTGCTACTGGGGCGGTAAAGGTCCCACCCAGTCCACCCCAAAAGACAAAATGTTGAAATGTTCTCACTGTTCACTAAAACATAATACCTGCACGGATGTAGGTGATTTTGAAACAGATGAACAATGAAAAAAGCAGCAAATTAAGCATTTGATTAAATAATAATCCCCGGGGTTTTATATAACATCCCATGGATATTTGTTATATAAGATGTTATAATATCCCCGGGATTATATTAATGGAACTTCCGTTCATATTGTAACATATGAATGTTTCTCGCTAGAAATTTATTTTGCATTTGAACACAATGTAATGAAATGTAAAATCAAATGACAAATGTTTTCTCTTTATTCCTGGGGATCGAATATCTGTAGCCCATTTAGTGTACCACTATGCTACAGGGGCGCTGAGAAATCATAATGCTGTTGAGAAAGTCTTTTTTTCAAGTACTGTACGCCAACAACAGATATTTTACTCCCGTTTCCTAAGGTTCATGGAAAGTTGTCTGAAACATAAAAATGTTGATAAAAGTTTCCTTTTCTGTTTATAAGTTAGATAAAACACTTACCCTCGTGTTTTATGAGATTAAAAATCCGAATCTATGACGGAACTACAAGAGTTACCTCCCCGACAAATATCTCCCCTTTATCGTCTAGCCTGAAAACAAACAGTTGACTTCCTATTTACGTTAGTTCTACACTGACACGGCACAATAATGACAGATGGTCATTATGGAGTAATCTTGTCGTTTGTTATTATCTCGAAAATGTTTCGCAAATCGTGAAAATATCTCCTTTCCCCCGACAATCGAGGAGAGAAACATGGTATTTCACTGTGCACAGGGAATATCCATCTTTATTGGAATAAAACTAATGCCGGTAAAAGCAGTTACCTGATTGTAGAGAATTCAGTTGTTCAACAGACACTATTTAATCACCACTTAGTATCAAATATCTATCTTTCAATAATTTAGATCATCTTGGTGTGTTTCTTGTTAAAACGAAACAAAATACAATTACTTTTGCAAGAAAAAATTAAACATACACTTTATAGAAATAAACAATACACATATTTTATCATGTGCATTTCCTTTTTAAATCAATAAATATATACTAGTACACTGTATAATTAAAATTCAATTGTCTAAATCGATTTTAGAAGTTAAAACTGTTGGGAAACGCTAATGGTTTTGCACTTCGACATATATATATATGTGTAGATTTTAAGCTATCGACTCCATAGTGATATGGATCGCTATCGGGATTAACAATATTTCTGAAGTGAGATCTGTTTATGCGTTCTTCGTGTTTTCGAAGGGTAAATTTGAATCACACAGTTTAACAAAATGAAATGGCATTTTTTTAACGTGAAGCAGATTATTTGTTTGGAAAATATCTGTGACAAATTATTCCGCCAGTTTGGATTAAGCCGATAAAATAAACCTACGACAGGTATGGAGCTATCTTAGAATTACGACATTTTTACGATATTTTAAGGCTACGATAGTTTTGAGAATGGGCTGCAGCAGTCTACGATTTCCTAACGATAACTTTTTGGGCTAATATCGTTTCGAAAATCTTGATCCAGAATCGGACAAATGGAACACGAGAGCGATGTTGATCTGTCCTCGTTAAAACGATTACGATGGACCCTGAATTGTCAAAATGCCCTCTTCTCCTACCAGCTGTGCCGAGTCTGCAGCGGCGTCCGAGCATGATGGCTCTTCTTGTGCCTCACGACTCCCAAGTGGTGTCTCCAAGGATGTCTCCTGCTCTTCCTCCCCGTGAGTACTCGCTACCTGTGTGGGTACGTCAGTCGCTGATGTTGTGCCGTTTAGTGTAGTTAACTCAATCTCAAGGTGTGGCCCATTCCCCCCACTTTCAGCGGTACAAGTTTCGCCGGCATCTTGAACAATAGTACCTTCTGTTGCCATCTTGACTCGAAATCAAATAATGAATACAATTGTCAAGATAATTATTACACGCAGTCTATGAGCGCAGTCAAATTGCGTGCAACAGCTAGAGCCAAGGCTTTCATTTAGGTGTGACGAAATCCTCTATGACGTCAAACGTTTATGACGTCACATCGCCCTTATATCAGTAACATAGTTCATGTTTATGTTTTACATAGTTCTGACATCCGCATGCGTTTGGTTCGGCAAAAAAGCAGGTTCATTCGTTTAGTAAAGAAATTGTAAGTTATTCCATGGCATTTGATTGGAGGGCCAAACAATATTATTGCGTTAATATTGTTTATGATTCCCTAAAACCTGAAGAAAATAAGGCCACGCCCACTAACGGACTGATTGGCTGAGTGATGGGGTTTGTGTTGTATTATTGCGCAGGGCCCCACAGTGATGTAGTGCTGAGATCGATTTGTGGAACGGGGCCTTGATTGATGTTCAGATTTCTTATTGCCGTTTAGTTTTGTTATATTAATTATTAAATTAGCAATTTGTTCGTTGTTATTGTTGATGTATTAATTTATAAGAATTGACTTCAGCATAATATTGCGTTTCCGCTGTCCGCTAATTTTTCTCCCGCACGCCCTGCATTTTCATTCCGACTGAACCAAAACAGGTATTCCTATCTACATTTTCCCCGCCGCTGTGGAAAATTATCTCCCTGTGTGATAGAAAATACTCCTACCTTTGCACATTCAAAAAAAGACACAGATATTTCGTCAGCTATATTTATCAAAAAATCGTTTCCGTAGCAAAGCTACTCGATCTACGTCATCAATTCATTTAAAGACTATTTACCAAGTGCTCTAAATTATAACATTTCATAAAATAAGTTATACAATAGTGAAATACAGCTGATGCTTTTTTAAATTTATGTATTTCGCCAGCTGGCTCGTAGAGATTGGAGATGAGAAACACATAAAAATATGGATGGCCTTACGGAGGTATAAACATAAAATTCGGTGTGCACACTTTGCGTAAATCCGGGATCCAGGGCCCCGTTCCACAAAACGATCTTAGCGCTAAGATGATCGTAACTCTCATACTTTAACATAGGCTTACGACAATCATAGCACTAAGATCGCTTTGTGGAACAGGCCCCTGGATCGGAACATTTGCTTCCCAACCTTGAACATGCTGAATAACATTGGTATAAAATAGATTCACAAATATTACAAATTTCAGAGGGACATTCCAAACAAGTCGATCTTTTTTTTATATGTACACAATCATTATCGTCAACAATGTTAGTACAATTGAGTCACGGAGAACATTCGTGTATGTACTGGAATATGCTTGTTCTGGGAAATACATGCTGACATACTATAAATAATATGAGAAGGAATCCTAAGTGCTTTATGTCCTAACAATCAAATTAATTCTACGTCAAGCTGAAACTGTATTTATGATGCAAACAGGGTGTTGTCAGATCACAATTATTCAACAATCGCCTTCCGATGTGTTGCATTCGATAAGAATATCCCGTCATAATAAAGTGTGTAAACAAAGCATATATTCTACTACATAAATCATTCTTATCCTTATTTAAAATAGAGGTGCCGTTTCGACCCACAAATAGTAGCCATTTTCTCCAAATGAGGTGCCGTTTTCGCCCGAAAAATCGGTGACGTTTTGCTGTGGTGCCGTTTTAGCCTGCACCCTTCAGTAAGTCCCGGAGATCACATCCAGGTTATTGATGACATTATAAATTAAAAAGCTGATTGATGCACACTGAGGGCAAACAGCCTGGCTGATAATGCTGTGTGCTGCCCTCTAAAGGTCATAAAAGTTTACCTTGTAAACTACAGAGGCTTCACATGCAGATTTTCTTTCTGTCATTTTTCTGATGAGCTAAATGTAGAGAATATTCAAGAAACACTATCACAACTGAGATCATGACTAACAATGAGGATGAAACTGAAAAGAGTAATTAAAAAAACAACAGATCATTAAATGTGCTGTTAAGAATGACAAAAGACTCTTTAAGCCATAAGATTTAATATAAATTTTAGCATAGCAAAATTACAATATCAAGTCCCAGAAATCTTAAACATGTGAAAAGTAATGCGAGATAGCACATGGTTTTAGATTCAGGATATTACAAATTAGAGAGTAAAGTATTTTTTCAAAATAGGTATTCCTTTTAACAAACAACAATCATCAAATGTCAAAATATTCACTCACACCAATAAACAATCTGGAATCTGAAGAAAATCATTTCCAGGCTATCATGATTATGCCATTAATAATGCTGCTAATACAAATAACATGAAATTGAATACATTTTGCAAGCTGTAAATGGCTTTAAGCTACAGTCTAACATGACAGAAACACCAACACAGAACCAGCCTTCAGCTCATAAATTCCAATTTTCTGTCAGATCATATTACCTAACACTAATTTAATCCTTGCTTTGAAGTATATATTCAAGTAAGGGAGTTGGGTTTATCCCAGTATATATAAGCCTAAAAAAATAATAGTCTTGGTTCTCAGGCACTGCCTATAAAGTTTGCTGCACGTTTCGTTTTTATTTCCATTTAGAAAAAAGAAAAAGAAAAACGTTCAACAGTAGTCAAATACTGTATTCCAGTATTTTACTCATCAAGGAATACATTTATGTAGGGAGGCCCTCCATCAGGTTGATTGTACACAATAGTTTATTGATTATACAACTGTTTATTTGTTACATACTAGTTTGAACCACACACCCCCCAAAAAATGAAAAAAAAATCACCGCCGCCCGCACCATATTTTCAAAAACCGTTGCCTGAGAACCAATTCTTATTTTCTTATAAGCCTAAATACCTTTCAGCTATATCAAAGTGTGTTAACTTTATGTGGGGGAGAAGCATGAAGTGATACAGGTCTAAGTGGTTTACTTCACTTTGTGATACCAACCAGCTTGAGTATGGTGCTTGCAAACCAATAATCAGAATCAGACAAATCTGGATTCAAATCCATGGTAATAAGAGACTGGAATGCCCAAGGGAGGCAACTCCCCACAGTACATTGGTACTCTCATAACCAAGAGAAAATTGAACCAATTCCTTCACTCTTACATCAACAACACTGCAATTAGGAGCTAAATATTCTTGTCTGCACATGGTTACCATTTGCAGAAGAGTATAGACACTGACTGAACAGTTCAATATATAATAAATCACAATACCATCTAACATCTATTTTCCATCAAAAACATTCAGCAGACAATTCAGCATATGAAAAATATATGGTGGAATGTAAAGCACAACATTCTCATGTATCATGATTATGGACAAAAATCATCAAATAATTATGTCAACATTACACCTACACAGTCACTAACACAACATTCATAAATCTTACAGACTGACCGTACCAAGATGTCTCATGGATATCACTGACAGTAATGTATGTTAAATTAGCAGATGACAATGTTGGAAGTAGATAAGAGTGAATGAAATTGATATGGAATAATCAGGCTATCACTGAAAGCACTGGAATACATCAATGGGCTACAAGTAACAGAAAGGTAATGGACAGTCAGCACCAAATATATTTAGTCTCATAGCCTGAACTTGTATTTTGGCATTATTTTCGGTAGATTTTAGTCTTAGTAACTGGACTAGAATATGCTGATCTTACTAACCAGAAGAAAGTTTACTAGACTCAGGCTTCATACTAGTGAGTGAGTGAGTGAGTGAGTGAGTGAGTGAGTGAGTGAGTGAGTGAGTTGGGTTTAACGCCGCTTTTAACAGTATTCCAGTCATATCGCGGCGTGTCAGATAAATGTGGGAGGAAAGCCCGGAGTGATGCAGGTCTCAGACGTTTACCACTTCGGTGAAACCCACGAGCACGGGTATGGTGCTGACAAACCTAGAAACATAATCGGGGCGAACCGGGATTCGAACCCACAATCATAGCTTTCTGGCGTGCCCAAGGGACGCAACTCTGCACAGCGAATCGCGGCGCCTTAGACGACTGGGCCACCCGTGCCCCCTTCATACTAGTGCCTAAAAGTGACTGTAAAGGCCATGGCTATTTCAATTTTTTATGAAAATAACACAGCATCAATCAATTAATAATAAGTTGGTAATATATTTAATTGTGTCTCATATAACACATTGAAATTGGCACTAATAAAACTTCACATGACCCTTATTCAATGTTATATGAAGGTTTACAAAATAGTTTTATCAAGACATGCAAAACAAAAGGAAAAGAAATCTACAAGTGTGAATTGTTCAAAATAATAACACATAAGCATTCTTCAATGAATTTCAAATAGACATAATACAGTTAGGAATGAAATCCAAGTTGCTCAAAGTAATTAATGAAACGGCACATCAGAGGTTTAGTCCTTACTTGAAATTTACACTAAAATAGTCATACATCGAAAAAATGTGTACAATACTGAAACAAGAAAATTACACCTCATGATAATGTCATAAGCAAAAATGGTGACAAGATATTGTTCTTTCATTGTGTTATTCTCTTCCTCGATTTAACTTTTGGCAAATATGCACTGGTGATCTGATTCATGATGATGAACAAGATACATGAAATACAGCCAAGACAAGCATACCATGTTGTCCCAGTCACATTCTTACAGAACCAGGTAGAAAACATAGCAAGCATAAAACTTGTACACACAAGAATGAAGGACACTAATCCCGATGTAGCATGGACAATTTTCAGATCTGCCAGTCTTAATTTTATTCTTAGGATGCTAGCAAGGGCAGGGTATTTCAACACAGATCCACCCAGCATCTGCATACAAGAATACCCAACGGCTGACAAACCAATAAGGCCATGCCATGATGTGAAATGTTCTTTGTTGTTTATTTCTTTATTGTAGTAGATCGCTGCAAATCCTCCAATAGCACAGGTAAGGGAGGTAACCTGCAACATCCAGTGAAGTGTGACCTTTGTGGCTCTGGATTGTCTCGGAACAAAGGAGCTGATTGGAGAAAACACCAATAAGCCCTCGAACATCAGCAGCAGGAACTGAAAGGAAGTGAAAGTAGCATCAGTCTGTGTATATTCTTCATACTAAGCAACAAGTTGTCCTGTCCTGATTTCAGAGAAGATCCATGTTTGACAAAAAGCAATCAAGCTTTCAAATATATGTTTCTTTTTATCTTGAAAGTTATTTTGTGAACATAAAGGTTTCACTGTACATGCTGAACACATGATATATGGACTAACTAAATGGAGAACATGCCATGGAAGTCAAAGTGAAAATTTTCATGTGCAAGAAGCTTGACAATATGTAAATTCAGTTTAGTTTCCTTCAAAACAAATTTATTACTGAATAGATTTAGAAAAATATCCTTACTGCAATGGCCATCAGTGTCGGATGCCATGAAAACAAGCCTGAAACATAAGATATATTTTTAATACAAAACTGTCATGTGACCTTTGGTAACTGTGTTACAATTAGTTATTAGAGCATAGCTCTATTCCAATGGGTGTCGTTCAATCATCTTTCCCTTTATATGTATGTCAATGCTCATTGAGCTGCATGTGCCTTGAGCAGAGTTAAAAGTGCAGTTTGCATGAAACATTAACTGTATATATCAGTATATGTTGACATGATATCCCTGGAGTGGAACTGAAGTATTTGGTTATATTGAGGTGAGGTGAATGCTCATTGAGCTGCATGTGCCTTGAGCAGAGTTAAAAGTGCAGTTTGCATGAAACATTAACTGTATATATCAGTATATGTTGACATGATATCCCTGGAGTGGAACTGAAGTATTTGGTTATATTGAGGTGAGGTGAAATGGGGTTTAACATCGCGTCCAAGATCATTGCACTTTTATAACGATGTGCATGCACGTGTGTGTGTGTGTGTGGCTGTTTGTACTAGTCCGGACTGATGCTGATTTATAGTGCTAGCCCACTGAGTGAGTGAGTGAGTGAGTGAGTATGGTTTTACGCCGCTTTTAGCAATATTCCAGCAATATCACGGCAGGGGACACCAGAAATGGGCTTCACACATTGTACCAATGTCGGGAATCGAACCCGGGTCTTCGGCTTGACAAGCAAACGCTTTAACCACTAGGCTACCCGACCGCCCGCTAGCCCACTGAAATACCATGACGCAGTTTAACATGAATACCCCACTCAGACACAGTATTCAGACTCCAAGCTGACCAGTCCTTGTTTTAGCCTCTTAATGCCAAGCGCTAGAGAGGGTAACAAGAAGTACCATCTTTTAACATCTTTTGGTATGACGCAGCCATGGATCGAACCCCCAGGCCCTCTGCTCTCCAGGCGGACGCTCTACCACTAGACCAAGGAGGTGGTCTTATTTGTCTATGTTTTAAGACAAAGGACTTGTGATTGGACTTTATCAGGATAAAAAGTGACAGTTGTGGGAACAATCAGCCCTCACAACTGCATCTTTAAATCCTGATAAAGCACTGTCGCAAGTTCTCTATCTATTCTAGAAATAAATAGCTCATTGCAGCTGTGTTTTATCTTAAACAAATTCATAAGAGCATGTTCCATTTATGTCATTGAAAGCCTGTAAATAAATGAGTCCGGACCAGGAAAACTAGTGATTAATATCATGAGCAACATCCCATAGTGACATTGCATTTCATAAGGACGTATTAATGTGGAACAGGGCCAAAACTGACTATGGCAACCTAGCTGTTTCTTATCAATACTCATAAAGATACCTCACTTAAATAAATTGGAACTACTGGATTAATTATATACCACATTTGCCTCTTTTGTCTGTTGACAATGACAATTGTATGTATTACATTTAGCAACCAATAATTGTGTACCAGATAACGAGATAAATAATCCAGCAAGTCTTAGCATTCAACACAATGTGCCAAGTCTCTATAAGTGCTGTGTAAGTTAGATTAAGTTACTGCTACTTAATAAATTAAAGCTAGTTAGAATTGAAGAACCATGTTTCAGCATGTTTTTGTTGTTCTAATGAGAAGGTGGTACTCAATAGGTCTCCAATATAACTCTAGGCCTAATAGTCTAATACATCCTTATTCAGTAAGGTAAAGACAAATAATTGAACAGCTTCAAAATGACATATAACCATGCAGTATCATAAATATAAGCATAGTCCACCATACACTTAAACTAAAGATGCGTGTGTTTGTTTGTAATAGATAGTTCCCCGTTTGATTAGGCCTAGACCTGGTCTTTCTTGACGAGACAATTGCCTATTTCGGGGCACTTGGAAGTAAGTGCCTTATCCTGTTGTCAGGGATGATGGTCGCGTAACTGTTGGCTAGTATGGTGTAAATAGTGCCCGTGGAAGAACGAACGAAGAATGCATGTTTTGTAAAATGGGGTATCAGCTGAACAAGCCTATAAGCTGACAAACTGTAACAACGCAGCATGCAAACATCCCCATCCGTTGTGTTTTCACTTACTCGAGCCGGGTGCGGCGGTATAAACGATGAATCCTGTAAAGAAAAGAGCAACAAAGTGTGCAACCATTGTGATAAAGAAGTAAATCTGTGTAAAATTGAACTTCTTTGTGACACAGTCTTATAATATTCAAGAAAAAACGAAATAGGCCGCGGCGATAACTGTCGTCTGCATTTGGCATCAGCTGAGCAGATTTCTGGAAAAAGATATAAAATTATTACACGTAAAGAAATAACGGATTATGATCTTCAAATTTCCAACACAGTTATCATAATCGGGGTATTTTATCCGATAAATTGAATACTAAAGAACATTACTTGTCCTTTTTAATAGACATGTATACAATATCAGCTGAATGTAATTCTTACAAATATGTAATAACTAAAATTACGTAATTCCGTTTTAGTCATTAGTTTTCACTTTACCAAGGGAGACTACTCTAAATCAAGGTGTTCGCGATCGCGATCACGATGAATGCGATCAAGTGCATCTTCTTTAGTGAATTCCATCCAACTGCTGGTCCAAAGATAACATACCAGGCAAGATATTAATATGGTCGCTTTATGTCCGAGTTGGTAATATGCAACATATACATCAATAAATAATAATAAAGTTATATGCACTTGGTTGTCCATTTGGGCTACGACGAGTCCAAATTTAGGAAACAACGCGGGTACTCACCCAACCCCCTATTACACAACCTTACCTGGGTACGCGCTGACAGTCTCAAGAGATAGGTACAAAATGTCCGATTAGGAATTGTTTGACAAGAGCCCTAACAAAAAGTATTTAGGTACCGTAAGTTAAGGTGCACTTTCAAGCGATCTGGTCATGCATACAGTGATTAATAGCTGATTGAAAGGAATAAACGCTTCCCTGCCCCCTGTCCCTATAATATGTGTAAGGTCCACCCTGTTCTCATGGGTTTTTTTCAGCTGAAGAAATTTTTATCTAACCAGAGACCAAATATAAACAAAGAAGTCAAAGATACCAAAATGCACAAGCAAATACAGCTGTGACTACATAGTCTAGATCTATACATACAGTGCTTGTTTGTTTTTTTGTTGTTGAATGCCACACCCAGAAAAATTCCAGCGATATGATGGCGGTCTATAACTAATCTGGACCAGACACATCTGCGATTGAAATCAAGAGCAGCGATCTAATAAGAATATGATGACACACAATTAGTCAATTAACTGACTGAGTCTGACCACCCTATCCATTTCATATAGGTTCCTTGGATTCTAGATCTATATTCTCACTCGGAATAACCACTGACATATGGTGTATGTCTTGATAGTTACAAAACAGTTTGAGCAAGCAGGTGAATGCATTGTGCCCCTGTGACTACATGAACTACGTCTACTAGTCCTAGCTGGACTCAAGGCTGATGAAGCTGTCATGTTGATTCAGAAGACGCTGTAGTGTACCTTTTTGAACCAGGAACAAATCCATGTGGACTTTTACCCAAATAAACTGTAAATCAAGTATAATATGTTGTTTGGAGTGTAATGAATATGTGTTGTAATCTGACATAAGTGGCAAGAAATTATTTCTTTTTTGACAATTGACCAAGATGATGTCAAACAAACATAAACATGATAAAACATGTTTGATTTTGCATCTTCTTTGTCATTTCGTGTCACGGGTGGCCCAGTCGTCTAAGGCACTGCAATTCGCTATGCAGAGTTGTGTCCTTTGGGCACACAAGAAAGCTATGAATGTGGGTTTCAAATCCTGGTTCGCCCCGATTATGTTTGTCAGCAACATACCCGTGCTCCTGGTTTCACCGAAGTGGTAAACGTCTGAGACCTGCATCACTTCGGGCTTTCCTCCCACATTAAGCTGACACGCCATGATATAACTGGAATACTGTTCAAAGCGGCATTAAACCCAACTCACTCACTCACTCTTTGTCATTTCAGGTGCCAGAAGATTTTATGAGCAAAGAGGTGTTTGATTCAGTACATATTTACATCATCACCAAACCGGAACTTCAGAACAGACTTATCACTGTGTTTGTATACTTATATATACTTTTACCACCCTCAACATGCTATGACAGATTAACTATAGTAACATGAATAAATTGGTTGGTCCTTAACTTCTTTTGAGGAGCATATATGCCTGTGGCCTCTTCAGTACCAAACAAAGATTGATTGTGATTGATTGAAATAAGCTTGTGAATGTTAATCTCATTGCTCAACTTTGAGGAGCTAGTGGCACAACCTATGTAAAAATGGGCATTTGGAAATTTTATAATAAATTGTATATTAATATGCTTATCCTATCTCACATAATGCATCTCTCTTCCTTCTTCAATCCTGGTGTGGAAACGCCTCAGAACAAAGTTTCAAACTTCAACAAATACCTCACCCGAACACATCCCTATTCATCACAATGGTCACCGCTTGTCCATCTGTGTAACACACCAATCAATCACATGCGACCCTACCCAGTGATTTGGCAGTGAAATTGGCACTAGTCCTACAGTTCTTGCCAAACTGCCCAACAGTTAAGGAATTATATGTATGGGCGGATACAACTTTTTTTAAAAGGGGGGTGGTGCACAATTAAGATCTATTTATTGTCTTTGGTGGTAATTTATACAGAAATAAAGATTTTTTTCGAAATAAAAAGGGGGGTGCGCACCCCCCCTCTGTATCCACCCATGATAAGGACTAGTAGACATCTGCCATTTTTAAGGGTTTTGCTATATGTTATCATTATATGGACTAGTGGACAAAAAATGTTAGTTTCTGCTGAAGCCTAGCTCAGCTTACTTGACCGCTTAGTATACCTCCCCAAGCCATTCTCTTTCTCATTGCCACAGTGTCAAGACTTGCCTTTAAGAATTGGAGATGTTCCGTTGTTTTTTTGGCTTTGATTTACCTACGAACATAGCCATCATGTTCTCATTCATAATGGAGCAATGCCCGAATTGCAAGTTGTGCATCAATTTTTTTCTTGTTGACAGAAATGCTTGGAATCTGAAGATAGTGGGCTGCCCTGTGTGTATTGATGACCCCAAGTACAAGAGGAATGCTCTGATGTTTAACCTGTGTTTTGTGTTTGACAAAGATTCTCGCACTTGCAACTTTGGATCAGTTGTAAAGAAACTAGCAGCTTACTTCACTCAACTTGAGGTAAATTATGTTCTATCAAAATGTTATCCTGGAATTATGGGAATTATTATTTGGCGCCTTGGTTGATTTGGGCCTAACTGTAGACGAGGTGAGATGAAATGGGGTTTAACATCGCATCCAAGATTATTGCACTTATTTAGCGATGTGCATGTTCATGTGTGTGTGTATGTGTGTGGCTGCTTATACTAGTCCGGACCGATGCCGGTTTATAGTGCCAGCTCACTGAGATACCATGCCGCAGTTTAACATGAATACCCCACTCAGACACATATACTGACTCTGAGCCGACCAGTCCTTGTTTTAGCCCCTTAATGCCAAGCGCCAGAGAGAGTAACAACAAGTACCATCTTTTAACATCTTTTGGTATGACGCGGCCAGGGATCGAACTCCTGGCCTTTCTCTCTCTGGGCGGATGCTCTACCACTAGACGGTCTAACGGTAGACGGACATTAAGTCTCTGAAATGAAAATATTTCTTAAGTAATGATGTTTTTAATTAAATTGTTGTATGATATATATTATAAAGGAGCCAAGAGAGTTTCTTCATTTTCAGCCTGAAACTGATGAAATCGAGCCTTGCCAAAAAATTGTAGACTTGCTTGGGATGATTTGGATATATTTGTGGGGTACGAGCCTGATATTGGTGCATATTTGTTTTCTTTAGCTTGAAAGTGGCTTCCTGTTCTATGAGGAGAAGAGACAGCAGATACCAAAGATTATAACAAGCATCCTGACAGACCTCAACAAATATGGAAACTGTGCCATCCCCATCAGTTAGTTTACTTGCAGTACTTGTCATACTTTCCTAAAAGCAGTGTAATTCACTCTCATATTTACACACACCAATTTTATTCATGTTTTAAGTGGAAAGTGTTAACTGTTTAAAAAAACTATTGGAAAGCTTGGGAAACCATGTTTACAATTTTAGACTTGCAAGTGTTGTTTAAGTGTGGAAAGATTTCTTACCAAGTCAGTCCCCATGTTCATCCGGGTTAGAATTCGTATTCAGCAACCATGCTGGTCTATGGGACTATGCTTGTCATAAGAGGCGACTAAAAAAAACAGGATCGGGTGGTCAGGCTCTCTGACATGGTTGATGCTTGTCATCGTATCCAAATTGCGTAGATCGATGTTCATGATATCAATGACTAGATTGTCTGGTCCAGACTCTTATTATTTACAGACTGCAGTCATATGGCTGGAATATTGCTGAGTGCGGCGTTAACAAACAAACATACTAGTACTATGTACTAGTTTGAACAAGCAAAAAAAAAATAACAAAGCCCGTCAGCCCGAACTATATTTTCAAAGGTCATTGCCTGAGAACCAATTCTTATGTTTTTTAAAGCCTAATAGAATATTAGAAATTATGAGAGATCTTGGATTCATCTGCAATAATATTATAATCAAGGGACTCCCAAAGTTTGAATACTAAAATAATGACAAGGCCCCCTTGACTTTTATTTCTTGTTTCAAACACTAACAATGCATATTGTTTGGCAGGAGAGTCGTGTACTATATACCTGAAGGTGGCGCCATGTATATCCGACCCTCCACTCGTGCAGGATTACGATGTGCCAATACTGGTCCGAGACAGAGAGAGTGTCATGGGATTCCCCCTTGATCTCACCACGCAACAGGTGAGTCAGTGAATGTTGATCTCACCACACAACAGGTGAGTCAGTCAGTGAATGTTGATCTCACCACGCAACAGGTGAGTCAGTGAATGTTGATCTCACCACGCAACAGGTGAGTCAGTCAGTGAATGTTGATCTCACCACGCAACAGGTGAGTCAGTGAATGTTGATCTCACCACGCAACAGGTGAGTCAGTCAGTAAACGTTGTTCTCACTACGCAACAGGTGAGTGAGTCAGTGAACGTTGTTCTCACTATGCAACAGGTGAGTCAGTCAGTGAATGTTTGTTCTCACCATGCAACAGGTGAGTCAGTGAATGTTTGTTCTCACCACGCAACAGGTGAGTCAGTCAGTGAACATTGTTCTCACTACGCAACAGGTGAGTCTGTCAGTGAATGTTGATCTCACCACACATCAGGTGAGTCAGTGAATGTTGATCTCACCACACATCAGGTGAGTCAGTGAATGTTGATCTCACCACACATCAGGTGAGTCAGTGAATGTTGATCTCACCACACATCAGGTGAGTCAGTGAATGTTTTTTCTCACCACGCCACAGGTGAGTCAGTCAGTGAATGTTGATCTCATCATACAACGGGTGAGTCAGTAAGTGAATGTAGTTGCTCTCACCACACAGATGACTCAGTCATCAGTGTATGAGAAAATGCAATCATCATTGTCCACAGTTGCTACTGTTTGTTGCTGGTGATACTCAGGACACATGGAATGTGGTGACAATCATGATTATGACACAAAAGCTGAGCATTATCACAAGAGATTTACAGTTGCCTGTCACCATGTTTCTGAGGCTATACTGAAGGGAATATATGAGGGAACACATAGCTGATGAATACAGATTATTATATGACCATGTGTCATACTGATTTTACGAAATAGGTATCAGAATTCTTGTATTTCCTGAGGGAGACCAAAGGTAATCTGTGAATTCTTACACAAGTTTCATAAAATCTGTATGACACGTGGTCGTATAATAATCTGTGTTCATTAGCTATGTGTTCCCTCATATATGACGCACATGCAAGTATAATAATTTCTATATTACCCATTATTTCTTAATCCTTTTGGGCCCGCCTCAGATTACGACTGCCTTCTTCAAAATGACGTCAACAATCTTCAGCACTGACATCTTTTCTAGTGTGAGGTCATTTCGACCTTATGTCAAAATTGGATTCGAATGATATCAACAATGCCCTCCAGGTGACGGAAACAATAGACTGGTTTCCTTGAAGTGATATGAAGTTAAAATTCTAGTTTCCACCCTTGCTGAACTTGGCTGGAATTTCCAGGCTTGACTGTAGTGCCACCAGTGGCTATTATGAATTATGTCCTACCTATGTTTCTCCTATTGACCAATCAGATCTCGCATATCACTTGCAATTGCTTCAAACAAAACGGTGGCACACAGTCAAGATGATCTGATCGATAATCAAGATCTATAATAAAGTGCATCAAATCACTTGAGCACCTTCATTTAAAACATGAAAAGATTTCCAAATATCTGTCGACACCCAGAAGGCGGTACACCTGCTTTACAAATCCTTCAGTCGAAATCTGTACGTTGAAATCCATGTTGTTTACGAACAGGGTGTCTAGTTCGTTAATCAATTTTGATTGGACTATGCATAGGCTCGTTAGTCCAGCCAAAATTCCAGCCTAGTTCAGCAAGGGTGGAAACTGGACTTTTATAGTCAGTTAACGCCTTGCCTCGGGAAGATGCCATTTCACTTGAATCATGTGCCAGTTTGTTACTGTCAGTATCAGTACAGTAGATGTGTTTTTGTTTTTGTCCAGATTCTGCACTATGTCGATGGCTACTCCCATGTTGCCAGGATTGCTGCGGAGGCTGATGTCGAGATCAACTTGGTCAAAGCCTGCCTCCAGAATCTGATGTAAGCAGGTTGAGATCATTTTGGGGGGGACAATTTTAGAGTTAAATAGAAAACCTAAAATAGAACGTTTGTCCACCAGCAGTAGACAGGGATGTACTCATTGATAGAGAAACCCCTTCAATCTGGACAGGACAGGGTCCAGTCAAAATGCCAGATTAACAAATTTCCATATTGATGAATAACATTAAAGGAGTAATGTCTTTTATTTGTCATCCAAAACTGGCTACCCATGGAGCAGTCTGCCAACAGAGGGCGCTGGCTTAACCAGTATTTTTGCTTGACAGAAATAGCCAAACATGAGACTGACACAGACGATAATAAGCAGGCATAATTTTGCTCCTAATTGTAATAAAGAAGTTGTTCATCCATAAATCTCATCCTGACTAAGTACTCCAACTTCTAAATGCCTCTCAAAGAAGTTGCGGGGAGGTCGGGTAGCCTAGTGGTTAAAGTGTTCGCTCGTCACGCCGAAGACCCGGGTTCGATTCCCGACATGGGTACAATGTGTGAAGCCCATTAATGGTGTCCCCCGTCGTGATATTGCTGGAATATTGCTAATAACGGCGTAAAGGCATACTCACTCACTCACTCAAAGAAGGTACAGGAGATATTGTTTGGGTGATATCCTAGGAGATATTGCTGCAATGAAATTGCATCACAATGCTTCGGAGACCATTGGGATGTCATCAGTTACCATAACACCACTTTCAAGTGACATCACTAATGTCTCCGCCACTGAAGCTGGTTAGCTGTACTTTTACACATAAGAAATTACTTAGATAACAAACTGAAAAAGTTGAAATAATTATTTTGGATGGTAAATAGAATCTCACCCAAGTTTCTTTTGAAATCAAATATTTTGTGAATTCGCGTTGACATTGTTTATATGAAACAACATTCAGGTGAGATTCTCTGCTTGTTATAAGTTCCTCACAGTAAGCAATCCAGATATGGAGGATCTGGAATAACAGACTTCTACTGTGCACTAATACTTTGATTTTGTTCCTTTCTAATATTTGATATATTTTATTTTCAGACATTATACTGTGATTAAATTGATATCCATTTTCCAGGTAAGCTACATAAACACTCATATCATGTGCATGTTAAATGTCAGTAATTGACAAGATGACCATGAAGATTCCGGGGTAGAATAGGTCTTCAGCAACCCATGCTTGCCGTAAAAGGCGACTATGCTTGTCGTAAAAGGCGACTAACGGGATCGGGTGGTCAGGCACGCTGACTTAGTTGATGCATGTCATCGATCCCAATTGCGTGGATGGATGCTCATGATATTAATCACTGGATTGTCTGGTCCAGACTCGATTATTTACAGACCGCCGTCATATAGCTGGAATATTGCTGAGTGTGGCGTTAAACAACAAACCAACCAACAAGATGAACCTGTGAAGGGTAGAATAGGTCTTCAGCAACCCATGCTTGGTATAAAAGGCGACTTTGCTTGTTGTAAGAGGTGACTAATGGGATCAGGTGGCTGCCTCGCTGACTTGGTTGATGCATGTCATCGTATCCCAATTGCGTAGATCAATGCTCATGATGTCAATCACTGGATCATCTGATCCAGACTTGATTGTGTACAGACTGTGGTCATATAGCTGGAAAATTGCTGAGTGCGGCGTTAAACAACAAACAGAAAGACAAGATGAGGTGGATGAAATTAGTATTGTACTTAACAGTGTCTGAAGATTTGATTGAAAACTATATTGAACTGATTAGATTTATGTTGTGTCTGTTTACTTTTCTAATTTGTTGGGAATTGGTAGTAAAAGGCAACACAATTTGCTGTACAGAGTTGCATCCCTTAGATGTGACATAATCCTGTGATCGTGGGTTTGAATCCCAGAACTCATATGTTTCATCAAAGTGGTAAACGCCCAAGACCTGCATAATTTGGGCTTTGGACCCGTGAAGATCCGGGTTAGAATAGGTCTTCAGCAACCCATACTTGCCGTAAAAGGCGACTATGCTTGTAAGAGGCAACTTACGGGATTAAGTGGTCAGGCTTGCTGACTTGGTTGATGCATGTCATCGTATTCCAATTGTGTGGATTGATGCTCATGATGTCAATCACTGGTTTGTCTGGTCCAGACATGATTATTTAAAGACCGCTGTCATATTGCGGAGTGTGACTTTTAGCAACAAACGAAACACTTTGTGCTTTCCTTCCACAAGAATGTGACACCCACTGAAAAATTGTTAAACCCATCTCACTTACTTACTCATTTTTGCTTTTTATTGTAGTATTCAAATGTATACACAGTAACTCCAGAAATCAACTCACTATTTGAAAATAAAGCTCTACAGATGGAATGTGTCCAATTTGTTGCAAGAAAAGGTAATACCGATATATTCACATGGAAAAATGCATCATATGAAGGTTGACAAGTTTGTTGATTGCCAGGGGGCACGGGTGGCCAAGTCGTCTAGATTCGCTGTGCAGAGTTGCGTCCCTTGGGCACGCCAGAAACCTATGATTGTGGGTTCGAATCCCAGTTCGCCCCGATTATGTTTTTAGGTTTGTCAGCACCATACCCGTGCTTGTGGGTTTCACCGAAGTGGTAAACGTCTGAGACCTGCATCACTTCGGTCTTTCCTCCCACATTAAGCTGACACACCGCAATATAACTGTAATACTGTTAAAAGCCTCGTTAAACCCAACTCACTCACTCGTTGATTGCCACCCTGTAGGTAGAACTGACTGAATGGAGATTGTATGTAATTATACCTCAGAGGCTTGGATCAATGATCATGCTGTTAGTTAGTTGCATGTTCGAGACTTGACCATTGACAGATAGAGCCTGTAGCAGGGATATTGCTGACTGTGCTGTAAAACAATATTAACTCACTCACTCTTCGATAGTCACTGAGAGAACCAAGCTGGGACAGGTGACTCAAGTAGTCGGGTCGGGTGGGGCCTGAGTAGCACCAGGGTACCCACAGGACTACCCGTGGTTCAATCTCATTAAAATCAGATCTTAGTTCTCGCTGCCGTTAAACAAAGATCTGAGCACATCCCATTACGGGTCACGTCGGACCGACCTTTCGCAAACTCGGACCGACCAATGGAATTATGGACAAGAAATCTACATTAGCCAATCAGAAGGCAGCTTTCTCGTGCTTTACGGCACTAATTTCAAATTGGTGACTACGCTTCGAAACATATTTTGACAAATTCTCATTTAAAAATTTGAAACCTGAACAAAAGAAAGTTCTAGAATGGCTAATATATGGTCTAGATTGTATAGATTCAGTCGTTAAGCCCGTAACTATCGTTCGGAATACCCCGTTTTAACGTTTTCGAGGCTGCATGATTAGAAATCACATTCCGACTGTCACTTTCATGATCTGGTAACCGATGCTCTGATTGGTCGGATGAAAGGTCATTCTGACGTGACCCCTAATGGGATGTCCTCAGATCTTTGTTTAGCGGTAGTGAGAACTAAGATCTGATATTAATGAGATTGACCCGTGGTTAGTTACGTGATATATTGTTTAATGACAAAAACTCACTGTAGCTCAGTGGTTACACTACAAGTTGCTTAGGTTTGCATTCCTTTCTAATGATGCACACATTCCTTCTTGACTTGTATATGTTTGAGTAAAGATTAAGTTTCAGTCAACTTCAGTTTATGCATGATCTGATTGTTTGATAAATGTATCTAAATAGTTTTTGCGTGGGCTGTGGAAAAACAATTCCCAATCAGAAATTTTGTTCCCTCTTTAAACCTACAGTGGTTTGGGTCGGGTATTAGGGGGGAGGGGGACACGTTCCCGCCCTACAAAGTGGAACTAGTGTGAACAAGGAAATGATTTACTTCATGACTAATGTGATTTAAAAGCCATGTATTTTGGTGTTTTTTATGGTTTAGTAAAATTTTGTAAAGCTCTAAAAACATCTGCTGTATTATGATGATTGTGTTTATGGAATATGTGTTGTCTTGCCAGGTCACTCTCTGCCAGCGTTCTGCGATGTGTTCATGCTGTACTGTTCCTTCAGCCCAGGGACCACTGTCAAGGACATCTGCAACAGGATCGGCCCACACGCCCTCAAGGTGGACGAGAGGTACGCCGCACTAGGTTCAGATTCAGACAAAGGTTCACATACAGATATTACTCACAGATTAAAGCTTAAAGTACCCTCATATCTATTAAATTTTAACGAATCAGCCTTGTTACCCACCACTTCCACAATCATCAAAAGTGAATGAGTTAGTGAGTATTGTTTTAAGCCACTTTTAGCAATAGTCCAGCTATATCATGGGGACACTAGAAATGGACTTCACACGTTGGACCTGCATCTCTTTGGGCTTTCCCGTATCAAGCTGACACTCAATGATAGAACTGAATGCTGTTAAACAAAACTCGACCCATGAAGATTCGGGGTGGAATAGGTCTTCAGCAACCCATACTTGCCGTAAAAGGTGACTATGCCTTTCGTAAGAGGCAACTAACGGGATCGGGTGGTCAGGCTCGCTGACTTGGTTGATGCATGTCCTGGATCTCAATTACGTGGATCGATGCTCATGATGTCAGTCACTGGATTGTGTGGTCCAGACTCGATTATTTATTTATAGCTGGAATATTGCTGAGTGCGACGTTAAACAACAAACAAACAATAAGCAAAACTCACTCACTCATAGAGTACTTACACCATTGTTCACTGCTGATATCTTCCAGGAAACTAGTTCAGTTTGGACTGATGAATGGCCTGATTCGCCATCTTCACAAGTACCCCGTCAAACTGCCAAACGAGCCTGGCCAGTCATCTAGACTACAGCCCTTCTATCAGTATTTTAATGGAGTCCATAACACAGACGAAATTTGCTGTCGGCATGGTACGTACACGTTTTTTAATTGTCACAGACTTAGGAAAATAATATCCAGTTTTCATGATGAATATAAGTATGTTGGAAATATGTTTTCCAACCCGATATGTTTATATTTGTATCATGCTATCAACCCCAATCTGCCTGGCTGAAACTAATATTTACAGACAGCTGAAAAATTGATGGAACAGTATTCAAGAACATTAACGTTCAGATTCACTTCAGGTTAGTTTAAATTTTCGGAAAATAGCTTCATGTAGGTGAGAAGTGGTAGCAGATCTTCTGACAACAGAACACTTCCACTGCAATGCAGAAGTCAGCCATGTTACATCTATTTCATGGCAGTACTTATATATGTCGGACCAGCTTCAGGAAGTATGCGTGCTGTCAGTGTTCCCTTTAAGGAAACTATCACGTTATTGATATATTGATTAAAAATAAAAATAAATATTCTGAATCGGAATAGATTAACAACGATAAAAATTACCTATGTAGATCTGCAGTTAATCAATCGTATGCTAAATATGAACTTGTATGAAATAGATTTTTCTGCCTTCTCATTGTCCATCGTAACCATGGTAATCATAATAAATGTTACCTTTTCACTGGCAGTGAATTATTAATTTAGTATCGATATTCTTAAATTTGTTGACAGCATCTGAAAGTGCTTAAGATATTTTATGTAATTTGGGCGTATTGTCTTGGATTCCCTCCCCCCTCCCCCTCTTCCCACCCCTCCATTAATTTAATTATTAATTTAGTATCAATATTCTTAAATTTGTATTGAAACAGTATCGACATTCAGAATTTACTGATACATTGATATCATGATCTACGACACCCTTCAAGGGCACCATTGAGAAACATAAGCATGAGAACATGCCAGTGTTGTCAATATTAACTTTGGAATGGTTGCCATGGTTACAGGTATAAGTCAGCAGGAGCTCGATGAGCGAATGGAGAGTGACCCTAGCGTGGTGGTCTGTTGGAAGTGACCTGCTTGACCCAAGATGGAGGAAGGAAATCAGAATACAAGCTGCCAGGTCTGGTAACAGACAGCAACAATTGGGATCACCTCAAACATGTCAGTGCATTCCAACTGAACCGTTTCAAGACCGGAGTCACTTGTCTGTCACTGTCAAGTGTTCTGACCCGGTGCTCTGTGTGTAAATGTTGACAGCATCTGAAAGTGCTCAAGATGTTTTATGTGTGTTAATGACTGGTGCTACGGAACGCTGCAGATGTTACCGTTTCTGGAGATGTAAGTTGTGAATGTATTCAACATCTTCCCGAGGCAAGAGAGTTAACTGACTTTAAAAGTCCAGTTTCCACCCTTGCTGAACTAGGCTGGAATTACTGAGCTCGATCATAGCGCCACCAGTGGCTATTACCAGTTATGTCCCTTCTAAGCCTCTCCTATGGACCAATCAGATGCCACCTCTCGTATCACTTGCGTTTGCTTCACACAAAATGGTGGCGCCCAGTCAGGACGATCTGATCGATAATCAAGATCTATATTGTGATAAAACTGGTCTTACATTGCGAAATGCATCAAATCACGTGTGCACCTTGATTAAAAACATGAAAGAATTTGGAAAATATCTGCTGACAACGAGTTGGCGGTGCACATGCTTTGCAAATCCTGCAATCGATCGAAATCTGCATGACAGTTTGCGAACCGGATTTCGATTTCAGTGCGCAATTTTGATTGGACTATGCATAGACTCGTTAGTCCAGACAAAATGTAACTCCATAATACCAGCCTAGTTCGGCAAGGGTAGAAACTGGACTTTTAATAGTCAGTTAACTCTCTTGCCTCGGGAAGATGATATTCAAAGGCTGTGACGACTTTTCCTGCATGGGGATGCTGTCAGCATGACCCAAATCACCTACAAAATGGTCCCTTCACGAATACTGATTTTGTACTGTTGAGGGGGGAAGGGTTTGAAAAGTTGTACAGTGGCAATCAGTGAAGACTGAAAGTAAGGATGGCAGGGTATAGAAATGTGCATGAAAAGTTTCAGGCAAGTTCTGGTATGGTGGCTCTTGCCATACAGGAATGTAATAAATCAAATATTTGTACAGTACATATTTGTTATCTTCTGATTTCATATACATATTTAATAGGGCTGTAATGATTCACCGGTATCATCAATACTTCTGTACACACGATACTTGAATCATCAGTTTGTAAGATCGTGATATGCTATAAATACAACAGGAACTAATCGAGTTACTTCCCGTAATGGCAGAAGTAGCATAGCGCCACCTGCAAGCATGGCAGAACACAAAGACGTAGTACCTGAGGACTCGCCTAACTGTGACATTTAGACCCATCCCTTTATTCAAAACTGTTTTGTTCTTGTGGATTTCTTTGAATATATTTTTTTAGATAAAAGTATTTATTTATTGTTGAGTATTTGAGGGTAATACTAATCCGTGGTGTTGACATGATCTGTTGATGAATGTGAAGCATGAAGTTTAGTAGCACTACATGTACAGTTTATTTCATAAAGTGACCAGGCATTTAGGGACAACAACAACAATAATAATAATAATAATAATAATAATAATAGTGTATCTTATTTTTCACGTCTTTCCAATATTGATAATATCTGAATGCGGACGGGTAACTTTGAGTGAGTGAGTGAGTTGTATTTAACGCCGCTTTTAACAGTATTCCAGTAACATCGCGGCGTGTCAGCTTAATGTGGGAGGAAAGCCCGAAGTGATGCAGGTCTCAGACGTTTATCACTTCGGTGAAACCCACGAGCACTGGTATGGTGCTGACAAACCTAGAAACATAATCGGGGCGAACCGGGATTCGAACCCACAATCATAGGTTTCTGGCATGTCCACGGGCCGCAACTCTGCACAGCGAATCGCGGCGCCTTAGACGACTGGGCCACCCGTGCCCCCGGGTAACTTTGAAGATGGGCAGGCAAGATCTATGGGTCGCCTGCCCTACTGCCATGTTGGGTTTATAAATTATTTCAAACACTGCCATTGTTGTTAATATTCGATTCTAGTGACTACAAAGAACAAATTCAATTCATGCAGGGAAACGGTTCGATTCACTGAATACATGAGTGAATCATAACTGCCCTAGTATACAACCCAAGATGCCTTTTGAGGTGCTGGAAGAATTTGTCACACCTCATCCTACCGGGTACCCATTCACTGCTGGGTGAACAGAGGCATATTTCATATGTCTCATGCCAAAAGAGTGAGTGAGTGAGTGAGTATGGTTTTACGCCACTTTTAGCAATATTCCAGCAATACCATGGCGGGGGACACCAGAAAATGGGCTTCACACATTGTACCCATGTCGGGAATCGAACCCGGGTCTTCGGCGTGACGAGCGAACGCTTTAACCACTAGGCTACCCAACCGCCCCACATGCCAAAAGAGACACCGCATGTAACATGTGCTTCAGTGTAGAAAACTCTCAGGGAGTCAAGCCGAACATGGTCACCAATCCAACTACTCCCCACGACCATGTGTTTTGAGGGGGAGGGGCGGGATAGTTTTTTCGTATGGCTCAATCTGAGATTGACCAATCAGAGCAGAACTACTAACCCCATATGAGACCATATACCGTTGTTACTGACAAAATATGAGACCATATACTGTCAATTGTGATGTGCAAAGACATTATATATTCAAGAAACCATGTTCGTGACTTTATCAATATTATTAATATAAAAAATTATGGAGGAAAAAAATCACCGTGGAGGTCACTGATTTACAAATAGCACCGTCATAGAACATAATATATGATGTTGTCACAAACAAGAAACATGACGCCAATGACGTCACAAAGCAACAGAATAGATAGCAGCCCGTCGTTAGGGAAAAGTGGACTGCTATCAAGTTAAAAACTTGGCAACTGAAAACACCATAACTATTAATATCCAACTCTTCCATGTATCAGACTTTGTTGTATTTCTAAAGCTTCTTGATGGAACTGTACTTTCTCACAGTGTCACACTTTCACTATTGCTTTGCCAGTGTTTGCGCCATGGAAAAGTCCCACAAAAGCTTCAGCCATATTCTCGAAGCCTTCTGTAACTGTTTCGCGATACTTTATCTTGCCCTGAAAACAAATCACACTGAGAATCTAACACTGAATGAGTGAGTGAGTATGGTTTTACACCGCTTTTAGCAATATTCCAGCAATATCACAGCAGGGGACACCAGAAATGGGCTTCATTGTACCCATGTCGGGAATCGAACCCGGGTCTTCGGAGTGACGAGCAAATGCTTTAACCACTGGGCTACCCAACCGCCCCGAATCTAACACTGACTTGACAGCTTCTCGAAGGAAGCACCACCATTTCTTGACAAACAAAACCATTTTTCATTTACAATTAGGCCTACTGTTGGATCACAAACCTGCAAACATCCATTCTGATTCAAGGGAAAGCCGACATGATATCTGAGAAATTAATTTTAGTAAAATCTAAATATTTTTTACATTTATATACTTATCCTACATTACTCCTTAATGTATTCACTGCTTACCTTACAACAACATAAGACAGCGCTCGGCAAAGGTCCATGCAAAAGGCAGGAGGTGAAAACGGAAACATCTTTTTTGTTACCAAGACCCTCGCTGAGCGCTGTCTTTTGGTGTAAGGTAAGCAGTGAATGCATGAATGAGTAATGCCGGATAAGTAAAAATTTATACAAATATTGATTCTTGCACCAACGACATAATGTCTTCAGAATGTTCAATAGCACTAATTGTCTGAAATATGTTAGTCCAAGAAATGTTCCCTCACAGTCTGTTATTGCTGGACCCATCAGAAATGTATGGACCAGATATGCCAGTGATGGATATTGTGATCAAGATTCTACACCGTTGGGGTACTATGACACGCTATACCAGTTTTCGAAATAAATCTGCTGGTCTAAGAATTCAGAAAAGAACAGTGACATTCCCTTGAGGATTACTAATTTGGCCATTAGATAGTTGGCAGCTCTGTAGCAGGACAAGTGACGTTCCCTTGAGGACTACCATTTTTACCGATCGTAGCACCACCACTGGCTACTACAAGTTATGTCCCTTCTAAGCCTCTCTTATGGACCAATCAGATGCCACCTCTTGTATCTCTTGCATTTGCTTCAAACAAACTAGTGGCGCCGAGTCAAGACGATCTGATCGATAATCAAGATCTATATTGTGATAAAACGGGTCTTACATCGCGAAATGCATCAAATCACGTGAGCACCTTGATTAAAAGCATGAACAAATTGGAAAATATCTGAAAACGAGAGTGAACATGCTTTGCAATTCCTGCAATTGACGGAAATCTGCATGACAGTTTATGAACCGGATTAGATTTCATTTTGATAGGACTTTGCATAGACTCGTTAGTCCAGCCAAAATGTAACTCCATAATACTAGCCTAGTTCAGCAAGGGTGGAAACTGGACTTTTATAGTCAGTTAACTCTCTTGCCTGGGGAAAATGCCATCTATCAGGAAGGTGGTTAGATGGGTGGTTAGATGGATGGCAATTCTGTAGCACATCATTTTTGCTGACAAGTGAAATAAACTTAATATCTATCCCTGATAACCCGAGTGACCGAGCCTGACCACCCCAGGCAATTAGTCTCCTCAGTTGCTGGGGACCTAAAATGACAGGGAACCCCACAGAGACGAAGCCGAATCATGTGTTAGTTACCTGTTTGATCCAATCAATAACCTGTAACTTCGCTTCTGGCCAGTGTTGGAAGGTACGGCACATGAACCCCCTCATAGTGAGCTGCTTCGCCAGCATCTGCCCATACACCAGAGGGCCTGCAACACAACAGTGAAGGAAGCTAATTGGGTGCCAGCATCTGCCCATACACCAGGGGGCCTCCTACACAACAGTGAAGGACGCTTATTGGGTGCCTGCATCTGCCCATACACCAGAGGGCCTGCTACACAACAGTGAAGGACGCTTATTGGGTGCCAGCATCTGCCCATACACCAGGGGGCCTGCTACACAACAGTGAAGGATGCTTATTGGATGCCTGCATCTGCCCATACACCAGAGGGCTTGCATAACAACAGTGGAGGATGCTTATTGGGTGCCTGCATCTGCCCATACACCAGAGGGCCTGCTACACAACAGTGAAGGATGCTTATTGGGTGCCTGCATCTGCCCATACACCAGGGGACCTGCTACACAACAGTGAAGGATGCTTATTGGGTGCCTGCATCTGCCCATACACCAGGGGGCCTGCTACACAACATTGAAGGACGCTTATTGGGTGCCAGCATCTGCCCATACACCAGAGGGCCTGCTACACAACAGTGGAGGATGCTTATTGGATGCCTGCATCTGCCCATACACCAGGGGGCCCGCTACACAACAGTGAAGGATGCTTATTGGGTGCCTGCATCTGCCCATACACCAGAGGGCCTGCTACACAACAGTGAAGGATGCTTATTGGGTGCCTGCATCTGCCCATACACCAGAGGGCCTGCTACACAACAGTGGAGGACGCTTATTGGGTGCCTGCATCTGCCCATACAGCGGAGGACAAGACAAGTACATGCACACACAGAAGCACTCTTAACATATACTCTGAAACATTGTGTTCCTCATAATAAAGAAGTTGACATCTATAAATTCTCTTCCTTATTAAATTTATTGTTGCTGTATGATGAGTAAGACTCACTTAAATAATCAATCAACACCATGACAATCATCAAATTCAATAAGTATAGGATAATATTTTGTCTTTTCCTTATTATAAAATGTAACAATCTATTTCAACATAAGATTGATCTAATGACAATCCATTGACAAAAAAGAGTTTTCAAGATCTGCTGACAAGGCATCAGAATGGGGTGCCCACTACTCACCTGTCTGTGGTTTGCCGTCGTACCTGTACGCGGCAATCTGACCACACACTGCCACACGACCGCCCTGCTTCATGTTGAACAACACAGTGCTGGAAAACTCACCACCAACCTGCAACATCACATCTATAACATATGGTGCTCTCTCCCCAAGGTGACCTGTGAAGATCTAATTGCTGACTTGGTCGATGCATGTCATCGTATCGCAACTGCGTAGATCGATGCCCATGATGTCAATAACTTGATTGTCTCGTCCAGACGCGATTATTTACAGACCACTGCCATATAGCTGGAACATTGCTGAATGGAGCAATAAACAACAAACAAACAAATAAACTCTCCCCAAGTCAAGTAGTTATCCCATTATTTGTAAATATTTGTCTTTTTTATGTACAAAGATATCTTTACACAAACAAGTACCAGTAGCTTTCAACATTTACAATGGCAACTTTTATTTAAACTTGACAAAACACTTCAGTTCCCTTCCATACTGCTAGTTACAGAACCACAATTCTGTACAAAGAAACATGTGTCATTCGATTCACATCAGTTCATAGGACATATACACAGATGCCTTGAAAACGACTATTTTAAGAAACACCAATAAATTTCCTCCATTCCTAACTTTTTTTTAAATAATTGGATGAAAAAATCTAATTGTGTTCTATGTTTGTTGTTTTATGCCGCATACTGTAATATTCAAGCTATATGTGACGGTCTGTACATAATCAAGTCTGGACAGGACAATCCAGTGACTGACATCATGAGCATCGATCCATGCCATTGGGAAAACAATGAAAAGCATCAACCAAGTCAGCAAGTCTGACCACCTGATCCTGTTAGTCACCTTTTACTACAAGCATAATCGCCTGTTAGGGAAAGCATAGATTGCTGGTGACGTGGTCTAACCTGGAACTTCTTAGGGCTGTGGTCAAATGCATGTGAATATTCTAATAATTCCAAACAAAGGAGGGGTAGACACCATAAGTTAACTCCAACCTGTCCACAGTATCGAAACGTGATTCCAAACCTGCCAGTCCTTGATTTATCACCTTAAGGCCGAGTGCCAGGCAGGGTAACAACAAGAACCATCTTTTAACGTTTTCTGTATGAGCGGGCAGGGAACCACTGTCCTTCTGCTCTCTGGGCAGATGCTCAATTCACTAGACCATGCAGGCAGTCAGACCATTAAGGACTGCAAGTGGTTTATCAAACAAAACTAGACTTGGGAAGAAAACGAAATTCACACTGTCGAAGAACTCACATTGTCGAAGTACTCACATTGTCGAAGTATTCACATCGTCGAAGTACTCACATTATCAAAGTACTCACACTGTCGAAGTATTCACATCATCAAAGTACTCACACTGTCAAAGTACTCACACTGTCAAAGTACTCACACTGTCGAAGTACTCACATTGTCGAAGTACTCACATTGTCGAAGTATTCACACTGTCCAAGTACCCACATTATCAAAGAACTCACACTGTCGAAGTATTCACATCGTCAAAATACTGACACTGTCAAAGTACTCACACTGTCAAAGTACTCACACTGTCAAAGTAATCACATCGTCAAAGTACTCACACTGTCGAAGTACTCACACTGTCGAAGTACTCACATTGTCAAAGTACTCACATTGTCAAAGTACTCACATCATCAAAGTACTCACACTGTCGAAGTACTCACACTGTCGAAGTACTCACATTGTCAAAGTACACACATTGTCAAAGTACTCACATTGTCAAAGTACTCACATCATCAAAGTACTCACATCATCAAAGTACTCACATTGTTAAAAAACTCACATTGTCAAAGTACTCACATCATCGAAGTACTCACATCATCAAAGTACTCACATCGTCAAAGTACTCACATCATCAAAGTACTCACATCGTCAAAGTACTCACACTGTCAAAGTACTCACATCGTCAAAGTACTCACATCATCAAAGTACTCACACTGTCGAAGTACTCACATCGTCAAAGTACTCACATTGTCAAAGTACTCACATTGTTGAAGTACTCACATCGTCAAAGTACTCACACTGTCAAAGTACTCACATCGTCAAAGTACTCACATCGTCAAAGTACTCACATTGTCAAAGTAGCAATCCACACCTTCAGGGGCCGCCTCTTTGATGCTGTCTGACACCGTGGTTTCCTTATAGTTAAATACTGCATCAAACCCAAGTTCATTTTTCAGCCAATCACATTTCTCCTTAGTTCCTGCATAGCCAATCACTTTGCAGCCCTACAATGCAAGAGAATCTATATTACTTACAAATGCTGTTTTAATGTCAATGATATTAATATGACACAGTCAGCCAGTTGATTCAGTGAAGGAATGTTGAGTTATGCCAGTCAGCGATACTACATTTATTTCACAGCAACCTTGAAAGAAACAAGTCTGGACCAGATAAACCAGTGACTGAAAGCTGAAGCAATGATCTATATGCTTAGGCATCTTCATGAGGCAAGGGTGTTAACTGACAATCATCTTCCCGAGGCAAGAGAGTTAACTGACTTTAAAAGTCCAGTTTCCACCCTTGCCGAACTAGGCTGGAATTCCTGGGCTCGATACGAGCGCCACCAGTGGCTATTACGAGTTATGTCCTTTCTGTGCCTCTCCTATTAACCAATCAGATTCAACCTCTCGTATTGCTTGCATTTGCTTCAAACAAAACAGTGGCGCCCAGTCAAGACGGTCTAATCGATAATCAAGATCTATATTGTGATAAAACGAGTCTTACAACGCAAAGTGCATCAAATCACGTGAGCACCTTGATTAAAAACATGAAAAGATTTAGAAAATATCTGTTGACACCGAGATAGCGGTGCACATGCTTTGCAAATCCTGCAGTCGACCAAAATCTGCATGACACTTAACGAACCGGATTAGATTTCAGTGCGCGATTTTGATTGGACTATGCATAGACTCGTTAGTCCAGCCAAAATGCAACTCCATAATACCAGCCAAGTTCGGCAAGGGTGGAAACTGGACTTTTATAGTCAGTTAACTCACTTGCCTAGGGAAGATGACTGACAATAAGAGGCTACTAGGCTAGAATCATGGAGTTATATGTGAATGATACCTTTATTTTTGCAATCTGACCAACAACACTGCCGACAGCGCCTGCAGCAGCGTTCACCAGGACAGTCTCTCCTTCCACCGGCTTCAAGATGTCTTCCACCCCGAAGTAGGCAGTCATGCTGGGGACACACGAGTGAGTGAGTGTGATATTATGACGCTTTCAACAGCATTCAGTTAGATCATGGCATGTCAGAATTGTGTGGTAGGAAAGCCTGACATGATGAGTATGGTGCTAACAAACCTAGAAATATAACCCGGGTGAACAGGATTGAAACCCACAATACATGGCCTGGAATATAACTTAATCTGACATGTTTGTTTGTTGCTTAACGCCGCACTCAGCAGTATTCCAGCTATATGACGTCTGTAAATAATCGAGTCTGGACCAGACAATCCAGTGATTGACATCATGAGCATCGATCCACGCAATTGGGATCGATGACATGCATCAACCAAGTAAGCGACCAGATCCCGTTAGTCACCTCTTATGACAAGCATAGTCGCCTTTTACGGCAAGCATGGGTTGCTGAAGACCTATTCTACCCCAGATCTTCACGGGTTTAATCTGACATGTTTATATTGAACTGCTCCTCAAGTACCTATTCATTAGGGCTGTTACGATTCACTTGCATATTCGGTTAATTGAACCATATCCATTCATGAATTGAATTTGTTATTCATGATCACTAGAATCGAATATTTATGAATATGCAGTCATGTGCATTTACATACCCTGACCCATAAAATATCCATAAGAACATATCATATGCATACATTTCTTCGAAGACACTGGTCATTGTCACAATTGAGCAGATACTAGTACCTGGATAGTGCAGTATATAAATGTATTATAAATAAATAATTAACAAACCATGTCAAATAGTTTATTTTGTTATTGTTTCACTGAATATCATAAATAATACATCAACTGATGACTTGTTATTGTATTTGTGAATAAATATTCGGATTCGTTACCCTATATTCATGATACGAATCGTATTCGCCTCATAATGTATTTGTTGCAGCCCTACTATTTATTACACATAACTTCACAGGAGACAATTGACAGCTTGGAACTTCTACATGTATTTACCCTCAAGCCATGACACACACAACAGTAAACACAAGCTAGGGGTGTAACTGATATATCAATTCAGAAGAATCATCATATATCTATATATCGACCAATAATAAGTTTCAGTATTCTGTATGTGTGTACATTAAAATTGTCAATGCAGACCTGCAAGTTAATGCTAAATATGAACTCAATATGTGTTCAATGACCCTGCAAAGTCATCTTTGACAGATTTGGACATGCACTTGGCGCATGTAGATATAAACATAAGCTTGCATTTTTCAATAATAGGTTGCACTGTTGCATGTTTTATATAGCTAAATCAAGCCTTGCTATTTGAGTCCTTAGCAAATGTTGAGAAGTATATTTTGATGCCTTATTGATCATTGTCATGCAAAAGAATTGACGTCACAGTCAGCAATAATGAAGTGCCAAATTTCAAGCATTCTGTTCTAACCAAAACTTGATCTACACCCTCTAGGTTGATTTCTATCTTGCTTTTGCACATCTAATGTCACACACACTGAGAATTTTGTAGGAACTGCAATTTGCCGTTTATAACCTACAACTGTAGATTAATAATTTGTTTGTTTGTTTGTTTGTTGTTTAACGCTGCACTCAGCAATATTCCAGCTATATGACGGCAGTCTGTAAATAATCGAGTCTGGACCAGACAATCCAGTGATTAATATCATGAGCATCGACCCATGCAATTGGGATCGATGATATGCATCAACCAAGTCAGCGAGCCTGACCACCCGATCCTATTAGTCGCCTTTTACGACAAGCATAGTCGCCTTTTACGGCAAGCATGGGTTGCTGAAGACATATTCTACCCCGGAATCTTCACGGGTCCTTAAAAGTCACATAAGCTGACCACCCAATGTCCATCTGAGTCAACTCTCCAGACCAGAGTCATGAGGTCAGGGAACCTCGTCCATCCCAGAGCCTCAGGGACGTTTCCTTAGCATCCTTTAGTAAACAGACAGAAAGCTTCATACAGATATTACCCTGGCATGCCGACAGCTCCAAGAGCAAGGGATGCTGAGAGTTCTCCAAGGGGAGGTAACTGTTCCAGGATGGATGTATCCGACACGATGGTGTGTGTCCGCCAGCCAAGCTTGGCTAGGACCATCGTCCCTACAGCGAAACTGTCACTCTTGCTGGCTGTCACTCTGGAACAAACATCATTAGTTTGTTTGTTTGTTTGTTTGTTTGTTTGACATCATTGGGATTAACTAAGTCAGCGAGCCTGACCACCCGATCTCGCCCTTTACGGCAAGCATGGGTTGCAGAAGACCCGTTCTACCCTGGGTCTTAACGGGTCGGAACAAACATCACACGCTCATAGCTTACAGTATCAGTGTGCCATTGTTATCAATAAAAGCAGAAGAAAAGCATGTTGTCTCAGGAATATAACATGAAATTTTCAGTCAATTAATCATGTCTAATAAACAAACTAGAATGACTTGGGTTTATGTGTCAGGTAAACTAACTTTTTGACTTGGGTAGGTGTTGAAGTTAATATTTATGCCACAGTCAGCAAATATTGTAGCTTGTACCAATTTGAGTCTGGTCCAACGAAACCAGTGGTTGATGGCATGAGCTATTATTCACAGTACGGGTGTACACTGACACACTATCACTGAATCAACCAGGTCACACATTGTGACCATCCAATCCTCATTGTTAACCAGCTCTTTTGACCATGATAACAATAATGAGGTTAATGGTACAGTACCTTTGTTGGGTTGTGCATCTTCCCGAGGCAAAGGAGTTAACTGTCTATAAAAGTCCAGTGCCAACACTTGCAGAACTAGGCTGGAGCAATAATTTGGATGGAGTCTGTGCACAGTCCAATCAAAATCACGTACAAAATCATCATCCGGTTTGTAAACTGCAGTGCAGATTTCAGTTGATTGTAGTATTTGCAAAGCATCCGTACAGTCAACTAAGCGTCAACATATATTTTCCAAATCTTTTCATGTTATTAATCAAGGTGCTCACGTGATTTGATGCACTTCGCGAAGTCAGACCCATTTTATTACAATATAGATCTTGATTATCGATCAGATCACTGGGCACCGCCATTTTGTTTGAAGCAAATGCAAGTGATATGAGAGGTGGAATCTGATTGGTCAATAGGAGGGATATATAAGGGACCTAACTCGTAATAGCCACTGGTGGATCGAGATCTACGATAGAGCCCAGAAATTCCAGGCTAGTTTGGCAAGGGTGGAAACTGGACTTTTAAAGTCAGTTAACGCCTTGCCTCGGGAAGATGCCGGTTGTGCAGTAAATTAGTAATAGTATAGGTATCAGACCCCACCATTTTTCATTGACACAAATCTAAGCAGATCTAAACCATGTTGTGGTTGATGAAGAAGCTAGTTCCACACCTCAGCATCCACCTACCTGGCCACTTGCTCCCCCTGCATCACGTCTCCCACAGCCACCTTGAAGAGCCTGGAACACAGAGAGTTCTTGGTAGAGCACACTAGGAATTAGGCTCAAGTTTGATGAGGTTGGTACACAGAGAAACTCACCCAAGTGTCTCACCTGAATGTCTCACCCGAGTGTCTCACCTGAGTTTCTCACTTGAGTTGACAAAAGTTTAAACCTCCAAGGCGTATCGACATATATTTGATATCAAACGACACAAGGATGAGGTTCTTCTTTTCATCCAAATTCATTCTTTAAACTTTTTAAGTTAGAAAACAGTATGAACTTGTGTCTTGAAATAAAAAAGTACAGCTAACCAGCTCAGTGAGATTAATGATGTCATTTGATTGTGACATCATGGGACTGACTAACGGATGACATCACAATGGTCGGCAAAGAATTGTGATGCAGTTTCATTGAGGCAATATCTCACTTGACATCATCAAAGCAACATCACCTGTGGAGGCCAGTTTTTGACGATGAAGATTAAATCTTATGTCTGTAAACTGTGCATGCTCTTGACATTTGGAAGTCATAAAGGGCTCCTTGTTTTCAGGTCACAAAACATGTTTCAGCAGACCTAGACTTGCTTATGGAATGTTATCAAAAGTGTCAAACATGAATTGGCACGACAATGGACAATATATAATATGCTCATGGACCATCTGAGAAAAAAAGATGAAATCAACATGTTGATATTAATATGAGATATATTTTGAAGAGGTGTGGGTAAAGTAACACGTACCTCATGTAGGGATCCACAGACAGGAAGACAGCCTCACACAGCACCTCTGTAACACAGGCCGGTCCCACAATCAGAGCAGCATGACAACTTACATTGTGGGTCACTGTGTCAATGTGATGATAACTTAAACTGTGAGTCACTGTGTCAATGTGATGACAACTTAAACTGTGAGTCACTGTCAATGTCATGACAACTTAAACTGTGAGTCACTGTCAATGTCACGACAACTTAAACTGTGTGTCACTATGTCAATGTCATGACAACTTAAACTGTGAGTCACTGTCAATGTCATGACAACTTAAATTGTGTCACTGCCAATGTCATGACAACTTAAATTGTGAGTCACTATGTCAATGTAATGACAACTTAAATTGTGTCACTGTCAATGTCATGACAACTTAAACTGTGAGTCACTGTCAATGTCATGACAACTTAAATTGTGAGTAACTATGTCAATGTAATGACAACTTAAATTGTGTCACTGTCAATGTCATGACAACTTAAACTGTGCGTCACTATGTCAATGTCATGACAACTTAAACTGTGTGTCGCTATGTCAATGTCATGACAACTTAAACTGTGTGTCGCTATGTCAATGTAATGACAACTTAAACTGTGTGTCGCTATGTCAATGAAATGACAACTTAAACCGTGTGTCGCTATGTCAATGTCATGACAACTTAAACTGTGTGTCGCTATGTCAATGTAATGACAACTTAAACTGTGTCGCTGTCAATGTAATGACGAATTAAATTGTGTGTCACTATGTCAATGTAATGACAACTTTAATTGCATGTGACTATGTAATGTAATGACAACTTAAATTGCGCGTGACAATGTAATGTCATGACAACTTAAATTTAAGACTTTATTTATCCACAGACCGTCAGATCACTTAGACATGTTAGATGGAATATTGTTGAGTGTAGCATAATATTACTCCATTTACCAGAATTACTAATTTGATATTTGATTTAATAATCATTGTTATATGACAAAACCATTCAGAAAGTCTGGTAATATTAATTCATTTAATAATACTAATATTACTAATTCAAATATTCATTTAGTAGTTCGATCCTTGAATGTGACTATAATCCCATTCACAATATACACACTGTAACACAACCATGATGTCAGATTGCACATATATGGATGCTCATTTACAATGGGATTCACACAGATCCAGGCGTGAACAGAATGTGTAATTTGATCCCTTTACAAACAACAGCTTGAGCGACAGACATGAATCTCTGCTACGGTTTGACAGGAAGAATGTGTTCAAATGCACGATTAGCCTAGATGGAATTTTATTTGAATTAGTAACATAAGGAAATCATATCGACTTAAAAGTTATCATGGATCGATGCTCATGATATCGATCACTGTATTGTCTGGTCCAGACTCGATTATTTACAGACCGCCGTCATATAGCTGAAATATTGCTGAGTGCGGCGTAAAACAACCAACCAACCAAGTTTCAGGCCGATTGTAGGCCAACACATATCTTATTTTTACCTTCGTCTTGTAATGTGTCCGAAATGTTTTCAGTCACAAGTTGCAGGTTCGATGTTCGTGGCTGATCTTCAAATTCGTGGGCGTAAATCCATTTTCTTGCTTGCACCATTGTGACAGTTTGCAAGGCCTGTTGGCAGAACTTTAAATTACGTACAATGCTCGCATGCGTGACCAGGTTACGGAATGGGGCGACAATGCTCGATGTCAGTCGGTCGTGACAGTAGACTGGCTCCCGGATCCTCCGCTTGTTGTCGCTGCTCTTGCTCCGCTTTCCAAGGAACGAACGGGAACCAGTCTATCCAAGCTCCTCACAGCGATAGTCCGTTCGCGGAGCTCTCTATACTGTTACCGAGAGCGTAACGAAGGTGTCACGCGCTGGGAAGGAGCTTGCCAGTCTATCGCGGCAGTCGCGCAAGCTCCTTCCCAGCGCGTGACACCTTCGTTACACTCTCGGTAACAGTATAGAGAGCTCCGCGGACGGACTATCGCTGTGAGGAGCTTGGCAGTCGCGCGGTGAAGGTTTACTCTTGCAGACCGCCAAGAAATACAAGACATACGAGTTCTCTTTCGGACACACTGCGATGAAGGGAAATATCAATATGGTGCCGTTTCTGATAAAGCTGTAACGAGAACCGGCGTGTTAAATGTTGTGGTTATAGACAAAAAACGCTTATTTTTGCATCGCATTACGAGAAAACCAAGTTCAAGATTGACAATTTGAATATATACCGGCTAATATCAGTGATTATATATATATAAACTCTTTTGGCCGACTCGTACCCATGGCAACTGTTGCTTTAACCGTACGCACTCGTACCTTTTGTTTGATTGCTTAACGCCGCTCTCAGCTGTAGGTAATCGAGTATGGACCAGACAATCCAGTGATTAATATCACAAGCATCTATCCATGCAATTGGGTTAATTACGATGACATGCATCAATCAAGTCAACGAGCCTGACCACCCGATCCCGTTAGTCGCCTCTATCGACAAGCAAGGGTAGCTGAAGATATTCTAACCCAGATCGTCACGGGTGTACTCGTACCTAATCAACTGGATGACTCGTACCCAAAATGCGAATCCATTCGCAATGAAACTATATATGATTTGAAACATTAATCATTTGTATTCTTACCTGCAGCTTCTGAAAAGTAGCTGCTCTTCTGTAACATATAGTTTAAACAGAGTTTAAGTACGGATTAGCCATTTTCGTTTGGTACGAATCTCCGTGGGTAAACGGATTGTCCAGTATCAATATACAGTGCCGTAGCCAGCCAGCCCACCTTTTTCCTTGTGCAAGGTAACTTGAATAAGAAATGAATAATCTTATTTATTTAACTACGGCCTAGATATATATAATTATAAGACAGCAAATAATTTTAAAAACGAAGCATGGTTTATTTCACGATAAAACATTTTATTATATACTTCGTTGTGAAAGACGAGTTTTCTGAAGTTGAGAAAAGTGATATTTTCATTGCAGTGAACATATAACACTTTGACGGAACTATTGTCATATAAGAGTTACCTCCCCTTAAATTGTCTCCCTTTATCGTAAGTGTCTCACCTGTACACAAACGGTTGACGTCATTTTGACGTTATTTCGGCATTCAAAAGACAAAATAATGACGGATGATCGTTAATGGGGTTAATATCACTTCTTGTGGTTTGTTATTCTCTCGAAAATGTTTCGTTATAAACTGTAAATTTTTCATTTAACTCGTCAAACGAGACTCTTCGTTTCGCAAAGCGCCATTTTCGTTAATTGACCAGCGGTTGTTCTTTCGCTTCCAAGAGCGGCCTCCTAGTTTTCAAGGATATTTTCTGTTGAAGTTGATTTTGTTATTGATCTTATCTAAATGTATGGTTAAAAAATTTTGTGACCCTAAATATTGTAAGATACTTTTGTTTATATTGTTTAAGAATTTTTAAACAAGAAACTACTTTTTAAGTCGCAAATACAAGAGGTGGTGAACCGTCCCTGTGTGTTAGGTAGGGAGAATTTACGTTTCAATGTTTTACATTTGTAATGAAAGAATTTAATTTCCCTTTAGAAACCTACATAAAAAGTATATAATAAATAGGATATTCAATACGTCACGTAAAATCTCGTGACGGGGGAATGGGAGATATTTTCACTCGTGAGAACATCCAGGAAATATCCACCTGTGCATAAAATTGACTTGTCTGACATTCCCAATGTTTATATTGTGGGAGTCATCATTATTTAAATACGGGTAAATGTTTTTAAAGCATATATATTTTATTGACATCCTGAAAAAAGGCTGTACAAAATGTTGATGACACCCTGAATACAATCCGACCTCGGCAATGTTGGACAACTCCATTCAATGTACAGGTGGTTTAAGTTTGATATTCTAACAGTTTTTACGTCGATTATCTGCATCGTTTCTCCCAATACCGATTGTCATATCCATCCAGCTACATCTATGGGGAACAACTCAAAAGATACTTCCCTTTAAAAAATAACGTCGTCCTCTTTACGACGTCATCAAGTTGCGAGCGCATGTTCGAATCTCCAGAAATGACGTCATGATAGAACAATGTTTTATCGTGAAATAAGCCATGCTTCGTTCTTCATTGTTCTTCGCGATTTATGCTGAACATAATGTTTATATCTCATATAAGATACAAGAAAACATTGATGCAGAGCATCAAAGTTCCCCGCCATATGTGATGCCTCACAAACGCATAATTATGATGTTACTGAAAGGCATGAAGGAGCATAATTATATAAACCACAAATAACACAACGCTGTTGTGAGTATTGGGCAATACAGTTGATACATTTGCATAGGGTAGGTCTATTTAAAAATAGTTCCTTGTTTAACGCCGCACTCAGCAGTATTCCAGCCATATGACGGCGGTCTGTAAATAATCAAGTCTGGACCAGATCATCCAGTGATTGACACCAAGAGCATCGAACTACGCAATTGCAATATGATGTTATGCATCGACCAAATCGGCGAGCCTGACTTGGCATTTGGTTATAATAATGTAAATGAAAATACTAAGGTCTCCATATTGCAAAAAAGTCATACTAGATAAGGTCTATTGGTCACAACTCAAAATATTATCACGTAGTTGGAGAACATTTCAATACGGGGACTAATCAATAACGGAGATTCCTCGTCTCTTGTTTTACGTTTTTTGGTCAGTTTCCTTTTTTGTTTTTCTTTCTTTCAAAGAATAGTAATTGTGATCATGAGTTGAGTTACTTGGTTTTTTTCTATGTACTGGTTTGAGTTCATATGATGGTGATTGATTGGTTTGTCGTTTAACGCCGCACTCAGCAATATTCCAGCTATATGACGGCGTTCTGTAAATAATCGAGTCTGGACCAGACAATCCAGTGCCTAATATCATGAGCATCGATCCACGCAATTGGTATCGATTCCATGCATCAACCAAAGCCTGGCCATCCGATCCCGTTTGTCGCCTCTTACGAGAAGCATTCCTGACCCAAACCATTCCGCTGATGAGAATTAAAAAATGCATACGAATCAAAATCCGTAAAAATTGCAATGGAGACATCATTAAAAGTTACCAAAAGTAACGGGGATATCAATATTGCTTTTTGAAATGATTCTATGAAATTTGTTTTCCCTGCTTCAATATTTGGAGCACCCGTGACGGAGCCATAAAATTGATTGTGACCTAAATACCCCTCATAGCCTTCGGTGTTAACTATGTGACTGTAGAGAGCTGTGCCTTCATCCAACAGATTATCGAGGTCAGTGGAACACGTTACAGACACAAATAGATTTGAGCCATGGGACACAAAATATATGAGTGACCAGAGCTACGGCTGTAAATTGAATTCCATTAAACGGTTGAAAAATACTACAGCCTTGATGCAAATTCGCCGACACACTACTCCGATTTTGCTTTGACTTTGCTACCAAACGTTTCACATGTGGCTATGTGCGTTGCACTGATTAAAAAAAACCGGGGGACTGGTTTAATTCAAAATACGGAATATAACTATTCCAAATATTTCCAGTGAACATGAGCATCCAAACAATCAAAAGTGTGGTATGTAGAATGTTGAATTCAGCCATATTACATTTAAATTGAGATGTCGTCGTTGTTCATGAATAAGCATATTCAGAACATATTTTTTATTATGCTGTTATTTACGATCTCCGGAGCACAGTTCTTCTTTTGTATACACCGTGAAAAAAGGAAAATTAGTCCTTGAGGAAAAAAGGACATCGGATTACACATGAATGGTTTAATAATGTCAGCTAATGACCAGAAACGGTCAGATGCATCAATCAACTACATTAAGACGATTTTGAAGCATCTCTTATTGCTGAAAAAGAACAGCATCAACATTCCACGCCCATGATTTGTATGTTTTGTTTCCGTAAATGCGTGGCTTGAAATTTCAAATAAACCAACATGTCGACATCCATGCTACAAATTTAACGTTTCCCGTATACTTCCCCGCCTTAAGGGCGGGGAAGAATAAAGGACTCATTGTGTTTATCGTACAATAAAACACTGCAGGGAGAATAAACCACTCGGGGCTGTGCCCTCATGGTTTATTCTTCCTGCGTGGGGCAGGACATGCTCACCTTTTCGCGAACACCTGGTCTCATTTAAGGATTGACTGGGTATTTTCTTCGGTTCATTGAGGTATGAATCGAAAAACCGATGTGCAAACTGTATGAATCCGCGTAGGTCGGTCTGACGTGACCCGTAATGGGATGTCCTCAGATCTTTGTTTAGCAGTAGCGAGAACTAGGATCTGATTTTAATGAGATTGGGTGAGCAAACAATAACCAATCATTCAGCCAATGACAGTGTATACATACAGATAATTGAATGTGTTCGCTTCATTCTGAAACGAATGTCAGAACGCACCTCTTTTACTCCGATACGGTACCTCTCTGCGTGAATGGTTATCGGGTCGGAGTAAAAGATCTAATTTTAATGAGCTTGACAATGCATTAATTTCTCAAACCAGAGCGGCTTTGTCCACTGTGTGTAATACCAGTAATTGACGCTGAGTATCTTTTTTGTCTCTTATGTCCATTTTATCATGACTTCAGATGTAACATTCTATCAACGTATTTCTGAGTATAAAATTTATATTCAATTTTCAACATTTGCTATCGTCACGCAGTATATTTGTCAAAAATTGTTAAGCAAAATGTATTTTCATTGGTATGAAAAAGCGTTGTAAACTTTTGTTTCAAGATGCATCTGTATAATTGTAAGGCGCTCCAGAGGTTGAGTCTTATCATGTCATTGTACTGTACTCGCATAATGGGCCGGTGGCCCCTTTACGGGAATAAGCTCATCCACTCTCAAACCAGAGCGACGGAAAACGTCACCTCTGACGCAAGTTTCGTAAAATCAGAATGTGGTGCAGTTTCGAGACGCCATACCTATATGTGACAGTGCCAACATGACATCAGCAATGGCGTCTGGGGTCCATTCCACAAAGCGATCGTAGCGCAACGACAGTCGTAACTCTAAAGTATGGGAGTTACGTACGATACCTGTAGCGCGACACTGCATTACGCCAACAATGCTTATGTACACGTGTGCCTCTGTTAACTCGCGTATCTTAAACCGCGTTTGCTTGGCCATTGTTAGATTTTGGATTACATAAATCTGGAAAATTGCTAACTGCGACGCGCATAAAACAACAAATAAAAAAACAATGAATGCCATGATTACCGTACGGTACGTCAGTCAAAGGGAAGCAGCCGTAAATTCAGTTTCTGGAACGGAGGTCCCACTTGACGTCGACAGTTTCCGCGAATTGGGCTACTGATTCTCCATGCTAAAGTTCTTGTCAGGTCTCTCTCAACGTACGAAGTCACCGTACCAGTCATCTTTGTTCCTTTTTTTTATTAGGGAGCTAAGCGGCCCCTAACATGGATATTTTAGGAGCCCAAACTAAGTTTATAGAAACCAACAGATGTTGTTGCCAGTTGTGTTTACTTTTTGGTAGCTAAGTAGCGGCAGTAGATAAATCTAGGTCGCCAATCATAGATTTGAGTCGCATTTGGCCACAAAAATGGTCACTACTTAGAGGACTGTCGTAATATCCAACATTCAACATTCTCGGCCTAATCAGGTTTAATATGTAGGGAGCCGTGAAGACCTTGGGTGGAATAGGTCTTCAGCAACAGGCGACTATGCTTGTCGTAAGAGGCGAATAACGGGATCGGGTGGTCAGGATCGGCGACTTGGTTGGTAGCATGACGTCGTATCCCAATTGTGAAGATCGATGCTCACGATATAAATCACTGGATTGTCTGTTCCAGACTCGATTTTTAGACACCGCCGTCATATTGCTGGATTGCGATGTTAAACAACAAACAAACAAACAAATAAATAATAAGTAAGCTCAACATGTATGGACTTTCCTCACACATTAAGCTGACACGCCGTGATATAACTGTACTACTGTTAAAAGTGGCGTTAAACCCAACTCACTCACTCACTGTTAGATGTCTCGGCAATCTTCCTGGACCTGTCAGCAGTTGCATTGATGACGACTTGTGTTAAATCATCCTGAAGCCTAGCTCACTATCAACATGTTCCAACCATGCCTTGGAAAGCACACAGTATTTGGTTCAAAATGGGAACTGAGAGTGCAATGTCATTTCACATAGCAGTCATCAATATCCACGCTCTATAATGGTGGCCTGTAATATTTGCGACAATACACAATCAGTGTCAGATGTCATGACCCACAATTCAATCCTGCGGGGAATAATTCCAGACATATATCCGGGTCACGCATTGTAGCTTGATGTAGAAAGAATTCCAAAGATGACAATCCCAGAAACATAATCTGGAATTCAAACAGTGAAAAGTTTCAGGAACGCCTAATGTGGCAGTAAAGATTATTTTAAGTTTATTTATAGTAACGGGCAATAACAGTAAATGACTGAAACACTCGTAAAATATCGAGATGGCCCATCTGACCCGAAGTGTGTATTAGAGCTACCTCCCTTGGAACAGCAACTCACATCTGTATTAACAAATAGGACATGTAACACACAGATTTTAGCAAATATAGTGACCAATTAGAAAAGTAAAACAAATTACAAACAAAGAATGTTTATCATGTTTATTCAAACATATCTTTTTAAAAACATGAAATATATTTTAAACATGATTTTTTTTAATATCATTGCTGGTCAAGTCCATGGAAAACCAACACGGTCTACATAAGGCAGCTATGGTGATATATCAGATACAGTCTTGCTGTGAATAACAGTGTTTAGAGTGCATCGTCATTAGCCACTGACAGCTGCGTGGTGTACACACTGGTTCCCCAACAACTCATGATATGTTGTACAGTCAAACACACAGTTATAACATACAGAAAAAGAAAAATGTTAGGCAAAGAGTCCTTTCAAAAAGAAATTAACATTCAAAAGTCCCTGATAGTACTTCTTAAATTTGCTTGAAAAAAATATGAAGAAATAAAGTACTAATTGTTTATGATTCCTCACTAACAATGGTTTAAGATGCACGATTATTTAAATATTTGAAATCAGTACAGGTACTTCACAAATTGATAGCACAATATGCAGAATGTGCCACTGTATGGAGCCAATTTCTGTAGGAATATAATAACATTATACCAACCCGCATGTTATTTAACAACAGATGTACCACATTTGTATAAAAACTAATTTGAAGTTGACTCAAAATTATGCAGTGCCAGAAAATTAAACAGTGTATTTTCACAGCAAGAGACAGTAAGAGGTAGTTTGTCTGGTGACAGGTTGTGTCTTGGGGTAGGGAGATCCAGAGCTAGGCGTGGCATCCTGTGTGGTAGGGCTGGTCTGCTCTGGGGTGGTTAACCTCATCCTCCTCCCCCATAAGCTACTCCGTACTCAGCCTTTGGGTTGTTCGGTTGGGCTTCAACAACTGGGCCATAGCCATCTGAAATACAGAGGTTGATTTGGTTGGTACTGTGGTATTATTTGTTGTTCAACGCTGCATCTGCAATATTCCAGCTATATGATGGCAAGGTACACCGGAAAATGGGCTTCACACATTGTACCCATGTGGGGAATCGAACCCGGGTCTTCAACGTCATAAGCCAACGCTTTAACCACTATGCTACCCCGCCGCCCCCACACTTTCTTAAGTACTAGTATGAACAAGTGCTGTTTTTATAGTGCTAGCCCACTGAGATACCATGCCGCAGATTAACATGGATACCCCACTCAGACACAGTATAATGATTCCAAGCTGACCAGTCCTTGTTTTATAGGGGTGTTCAATATAACTGGTATACCGATATATTGCAATACGGCCATCAGCAAGACATGTATCACAATACAACCCTTGCATATCAACATTTTCCGATACAGTCACAGAAGAATTAATATATAATTACATAAATTACATCTACTATCTTGAGGCTTTTCGATGGACTGGGTTCCTATCAAAGCCATGTATACAACACACGCTTTGTGCTGTTTACATTAACATTCCATAATGATGAGGTAATATGTATAGAAGGTAATTTAAGGTACCGACGTATGGATTATTGAATGAGAAGTACCATTTGAATAGTACAAATATATGTAATTTGTGCCCCAATACACAAACACTATCCCCTTTAATGATTGACAGACAGGGAAACAACAAGTACTATCTTTTAACATTTGTTGGTATGACTCAACCACCAGCCTTCCGAACTCAAGCACACGCTCTCTGCAATAGACCATGGAAGCAGTTCTTGGAATGGAAGTACACATACTTTGTGCAGAACGGCTGCCTTTGCTGATGACACACTCCCTCTCCTTTATGCCCTTGACCTCTGACCCAACCTCTGAGTTGGACTTGCAGCATGCTCGCTGAATCTTTTCAGCTACATAGCTGCAAGCTGAAAACACAGAAATGTTCTTTATTATCAACCTTATTTCATCATGTTCATCAATATATTGTTGGTTTCTTCAGGTTTACTTGAAAAGGGTTTTCCACTGTTGTTTCACACACACTTGTTAGACTGCTACTGACTTGAAAGTGGCCATTTTCTTTCAGCACAGAGTGGAAAAAGAACAGACGACAAACAGTGAAACAAGAGAAAAGGTTTGGTTCTCGTTATATGACACCTCAGCAATGCATTATTTATAGAAGTTAAAACAAAACAACAAGTAGAACTTAATTTCAGCTCGGACCTCCATAACAAGTCTCCGAGATGTGACAACATTATCAGTGACTAGTATTATTACATGCATAACCTCGAAGGCAGTCAAATGAACAATTCTGTGACAAAGGATATCTAGTTATACAAAAAAAGCTGATTCAGTGTTCCCGTCTACCAGTATTTAACAGTTTTTTACCCATAGAATTTGGCTTGAATCGGTAATTCATGTGAGTGCCAGTCCCTGTGGACCAACAAATAAAGCACCTTATATAATTTTGTTGTTGAACGAAACATTGGCAGTATTCAGTATATTTTTCGAACCAAGTCAACTTGTCTGTTACCATCAGGGTTTCCCGTTATCTATTATTAGTGCAAGGAAATAACATTTCGCTTTGCTTTCAGGTTAAATATATATATGTTTTTTTATTTGTTGAAAGTTGGGACTGACAAAAATTAGGGGGGACTGGTAATTTTTAGAGTTGCCATTCCAGCAGGACTGTCATTTTCAAAAGCCGGTGGGAACACTGTGATAAATATAGAGGGTTATAGTCAAAACAGCACCTCAGCAAAACGTCATAGAGCAAAAACAGCACCGGCTGGCGAAAACAGAACTTTGCCAAAAGCAAAAACGGCTACTGTTCACATGCAAACATGCTTATCACCTTAAAACATCTTTACATTAGAAATAAGCCTCTACTCAAATTTACTCGCCAACTGTGAATGAGAGTCAGGTATACGAGGCAAAGTATTTTCAGACTGCTTCGGATTTCCTGTCAGGCAACACAAACAGATCAAGCGATGACAATATTACAACTGTGTTGAAATATGGTGACAAAAATTAGGATCAATGTTACCAAGAATAAAGCCCCCATTACACTATCAAAAACTTTGATAAAAAATTTGGTTGGTTGGTTGGTTTGTTGTTTTAATCCGCACTCAATATTCCAGCTATATGATGGCAGTCTGTAAATAATCAAGTCTGGACAATCCAGAGATAGATATCACTAGCATCGATCCATGCAATTGGGATCGATGACATGCTTCAACCAAGTCAGTAAGCCTGACCACCTGATCCCGTTAGTCGCCTCTAACTACAATGGGTTGCTTAAGACCTATTCTATGCCAGGTCTTCACGGGTATCAAAAACTTGGTCAAAGTCCATTTTGACCAAGTTCTTAATAGTGTAAAATGCTGTCAAAAACTTTGAAGAAGTTTTTGACGGACTTTGATGGAAAAGACACCGATCCTATTTCTCGTCAACTTTGATCAAAGTTTGATGACATTGATTTAATCAAGCCAATCAGAATGCAAGGAACATTTACCCCTTTTCAACCAGAAGTGCATAGATTCAAGTCAAAATGAGCCAACTATTTTGGACTGACGAGATGTTGGAAGAATTAATTGACTTGGTTTAACAACAAGTAGCTATTCTCAGGACCAGATATAAGATATTGTGCATAAGTTGACACAATTTATGGATAAAAACTTCTTTAATACTGTCTGCCTTTGCCAACCCTGACGCCAACCTCTCAACATGGCAATACTACAAAATACACATGACAACAGCAAAACATTCTTAGTAGCATCAATCTTGGGAAAATAATACCCGCCAAAACTTAGACGGCCTGTCCAAAACCTTGATGAGTGTAAACAGCCAAACTTGGTCAAAGTTTTCTTTGACCAAGTTTTTGGTCAAAGTTTTTGATAGTGTAATGGGGGCTTCATTTATACTACTACATAAATACCTTTTTTCTTTATTATGAATATAAGATGCCATTTTCATTGACCGTCAGTAGCGCTTCTGTTTTCGCAAGATGAAATCAGTGACATTTTGCTAAGATATCGCCATACTTAAAATGAAGCATTAATAATCACAGATTCAGTCATGTCAGTTGGGATAATAATAAGACAACGTATCACAGTAGATAGTACTGTATAACCCTTGACAAAATATAATCACTCACAAAAGCCTTTATTTCTGATTCAACCAAAGTTGATATGGTTCGTATGAACATAATTGATGTCAGTTCGGCGAAAGAATTATTATTATCATTGTGACAATGCTTAGATGCTAGTCTGCTTGTTCCGCCGAAAATGTTGTCATCGATCAATCAATATCGGAATATAATCGTCTAACAATCCTCTCTATATAGTCTGTATTTCTTGTTATAAACTGTGAAACAAAGTATGTTGCATTTTGTTACACAACGTAACCAACCCGGTTGCTGTCCTTGTTGTCAATGTCACATGTACAGAATCTCAGTGGGATGACTTGACAGTTTTTGCTGCCGTCCGTAAAGCGCACTAAACTGATCTTAACTGACACAAGACTCGTGCGACAACGTGCTTCTCACCATTAATTATCAATCATACCATCCTGTCGATTGCGCAACCCTGTGCTGAACGCTGGTGTTTGAGATATCGTGTTTAAAGGTTCAGATCTTCTCACACTGTTTACCTTTCTGACATTAGCGATGACGCTGTGTCACGTGATGTACGGGGTCACGTGCTAAGCGGAAGTGCCCTTGTAAACAACCTGTCAAGTTCATGTGGTCGTTGGTCTGTCAAATGCTGTAAGCATCACGCGAGGATACTTCATGTCGCCCTCATCATGACAACCCCTCATTAGCTGTAAGTTGCTTTTATTACAAATTTCTCGTGCGATATCTGCGGTTCTCCTGCCCGAATAATTTATATGAGGGCGTGTTCTGTCTTTCATTATGAAGTTTGTTTCGTTGACCAGTCTGCCATTAATTAACCCGTTATTATTGATTTATTGACATTTTCATTATGAATAATATTTCATCAATATTCGTTTAAAACGTTTTGACTCCAAAAACGGAGCTTTTAGTTGAACAAAAACGTAACAAACTGACTTATTACCTGTCTGGATTTATTAATTATTCAAAACATATCCTTGATTTCCTTCTTGTTGTTCAGTGTTGTTATATAAGTGAAAAAATTAGGCATCAACCTTCTTTCATTTGGGTAATAACATCAATCAGGTAAACTGCAAAAGATTTGTTACCAGAAATAATACCTGAGATTTTTTAAGATAAAATATATTAACGAACCAGAGCACTTGTGCATCATACAAGATGGAATATTTGTTTTAATATTGATATTAATTATGAATCTTCAACAATAATTATTGATTAACTGCTATATGATTTCAAAATCAATGTGACATCTGGCAGTAGAGATGTTAGCTAGATGCAGATCTGTTCAATACACAGGACCTGTCACTGGTGTAGCCCAGTGGATCGGGTGTTTGTTTGTCACGTTGACAACTAAAGTTCTGTGCCCATGTAGGCCTAGGTGGGTGTGGAGTCATCCCACAGATAACATCCTTACCTTGTCAGCCTGCTGATGGGGTTAACCTCTTTGGTCATGTGGACAAGGCGTCCGACCTCTGATCAGAAGGTCTGTGGTTTAAATCCCATCATAGAACTCAGACATTTTATGTCCGCTACATGCGTTAAACAACTGGTCCTGGTATTGGCGATACATGTGTGTGGGTACTGAGTGAGGCATTTAACAACAAACAAACAAACAAAATTTTGAGATGTGTAGTTCTTTTAGACCTAACATATTTAACCCAGGAAGTGGGTGTGTCCCTGCTGTGAATGTGTTTGAAGTGTCCCTGCTGTGAAATGTGCAGGTGTTTACATCTGTACATATGATCATATAGTGCATCTTACTGTGAACACCTGCTGCTGTCGTGGACTTGTTTGTTAACACAATTATCTTCAGATAAAATTGATCAAAGGCATAATGATCAAACAATTCATTTTATTCAAATAATGAAACAGGCTAGCCGAGCAGACGGTGCACTAAGGGACGTAACTCCAATTTCTTACCACCCAGGCTGATATCGATCGCTCATTCAAAATGCATTGACAAGGCATATCAGCCCAGCAAGGGTTGTGATACGGGTCTTGTTATTACACTCCATTAATCATGGTAATATGACCATCTCTATGTTGATTCTATCGCACATGCAGAATGCCTTATATCATTGATAGGTGTGTGATAAATGTTGATATTAAATGACATACTGCATGACATACTGCACATTCTCATGCAAACATGTGGCAACATGTGTTACACCAGATCCAGCATATGTTCAAATATTTATGATCGTATGATAATTCAACTGGCATTTGCTTTTTTAAAGTGACTACGGTAAAGACTGCCTCCGTGGTCTAGTGTAAATAGAGCGTCCACCCAGGGAGCGGAAGGTTCGAGGTTCGATCCCCGGCCACGTCATACCAAAAGACGTTAAAAGATGGTACTTGTTGTTACCCTGTCTGGCGCTCGGCATTAAGGGACTAAAACAAGGACTGGTCAGCTCGGAGTCAGTATACTGTGTCTGAGTGGGGTATTCATGTTAAACTGCAGGATGGTATCTCAGTGGGCTAGCACAATAAATCGGCATCAGTCCGGTCTAGTACAAGCAGCCACACAAACACACACACGTGCATGCACGTCGCTATATAAGTGCAATAATCTTGAACGCGACATTAAACTCCATTTCACCACCACCACCACCACCTTCACGACTACAGTGAATTTATTTATTTCTATCATTTATTTGGTCAAATAACTTTTTTGATGGAAGAAATTATACTGTTTTGCTTTAAAGATATGTTTTAAATATGATTATCATCTTTGGTAGTGTCAGTTCCCAACTTTACAAGTCTTTATGAAACTACAGATAGCGAGATACACTAAACAGCTAGATGAGGTGAATAGTTTCAGTAATTTATAAATGCTAAATGTCCTCATTTTGTGGTGAAAGAGACAGACTGTTTTTTTAAAATATACATCTTTTCAATGAAACACTGCACTTTATTTTATTTATTATCTATGGGGGCAAACACAGGCCTCAAATTTAAATTTGTACCAAGTAGACATGGCTACATGTATTTTTTCCCAGGTAGCCACTGGTAAAATCAAGAAGTCAAGCCAATATTGTAGGTAGCAAAAAGCATTTGAAATGATCTGTTATGAAACAACTATTATAATATGTACAAGTTATAGCACTAGTCTTGGAATTGTATATTAGTGGAAACTGTACTTGATTTTTGTTACTTGTGACTCGAACATGACGAACCATGATGCAATTTATGTTACTAGATTATATAGGTATATCCTTGATTATCCAATGAGCATTGTCAACTAAAATAAAGTACTAATCACATTAATATTTATGTATTTTGGTTCAATGTCGACTTTAGGAGGAATTATTTGCGAGTACAATTATTAGCAGACATGTTTTCCAAGATCAACTGTTATTTATTTTTGTGTCTACAGATGTGTAGCAATAGAATTTAGTTGCCACAAGATATTTTTCAAGGTAGTCATTTGGCTACCTCTGAATTTTAGATATGAGACAAACTGAGATTAAGGTCGCATTGGCGACCGTTTTAGTCATATCTTTGAGGCCTGAAACATATCGGGGTTCATAAAAATCATATGTGCACTAGGGTTATATCACATCACTGGACAATAGTGTACATTGATTCTATCATCCGGACGGCATTGTTGACGTCATTCAAATCTTATTGTAACGTGAGGTCGGAATGACGTCACACTAGAAACGACATCATAGCTGAAGATTGTTGACATCATTGCTGACGTTGTGACTTGCTGTCCTTATAGGTAAACACTAGAATTCGTCTCTGTATATAGGCATCTTTTTCGGTAATAAATATAACATTATATTTGTGTTCATGTCATACTATGCTTGCGATACTCATGCTTAAATTCTGGTATTTAGACTTGTGTCGTAAACATAGTATGACATGAATATAATATCCTCTATATTTTAACATGTTTACTTTTGTAACATATTGAGCAGATTTTCATCTGGTCATGCGTTATACAGGGTAAAGTCATGAGGTATTATTATTTGCATCAGTTGGCTTCACACGTGTTATGTGACTCATCAGTGGTGAATTTAAATGTGTGCAGAGAATGGCCATCTTGCCTTAGTGGCCATTTGTGACCAGGGCTCCAGACATATTCCCAGCCATGGAATACCTTTGTTTGTTTGTTGTTAAACGCTGCACTCAGCAATATTCCAGCCAAATGACAGCGGTCCGTAAATAATCAAGTCTGGACCAGACAATCCAGTTATTGACATATGAGGATCGATCTACACAATTGGGATACGGTAACATGCATCAACGAAGTCAGCGAGTCTGACCACCAAATCTAATTCGTCACCTCTTAGGGCCAGTATAGTCGCCTTCTAGAACTCTTCTACCCTGGATCATCATGGGGAATGGAATACTTAATGAGTAGGTGGGCTGGTGAGATTTATTTGGGGGATGAACACGTGACACAGCGACAGAGGTGGGGTCGCCAGAATTTATCACAGCCATGAAAGAATGACACAGTTCTGTTGTTTTTTAAGTAAAGTTATTATGAATTTAGTGACTGGTAAATCTGGTAATGTATTATAGAGAGGGGTGGGAGGCCTAAAAAATCTTACATAAAATGGGATGGTACTAGGCCCACCCACCCCTATAATAAGTGACCAGTGCCTTACTCAAATATTGTCAATCTAATTGGGAACTGATAGTTTTCTTTTGGTATATGTATATTTAATATTTTGGGTCCAGTCTAATGGGTATTTGGGGTGGAGCGGTCAAGGCTAGCAAGCGCCAGGTGCTGAGATCATATCCGCTAGTGACCGGGTTGTTATTCAGCCTTGGGACCAACTATGTTTACAGGTCTTTACAGTGTTGTCACTACCCCTAGTGTACAGTACATACACCCTGTACACTCAAAAGAACCCACTCGTCCGATGGTAGATGACCAGATGGTGGAAACCCCAATACGTACATACACCCGAAACACGAGTGTCAAAACATGTGATGTCAACCTGGGCAAGTGACTTAGTTCAAATGTGCCTCTGCTCACCCAGCAGGGAATGGATACCGTATATGACCGCGGATAAGCCGAGGTGTTAACTTGACCATTGAAATACGAAAGAAAATGATATGACCCGCAGATAAGCCGAAGCAGGAAGTGAAAAAAACACTGTGAAGTCTCTAGTCTTTTTTTTAATCTCATCATGATCGTTTTTTGTTGCCATCAACAACGAAGCGCCATTTTGTGAATCAGTGTATATAGAATTATGGACCCGTGAGAAAATGTACCAACAAATAAAAACACGTCTTTTTTCATTTTGAACTCATGATGAGAATGCCAATATTCCAACTTTTATACACCTATGCAGTAACTCACAAATTTGCTTCACTTGAACTTCAAACATTGCCGCCACTATTGTATGTTAATCCAATTGAATTAAATAAACTATGAACAAATTAAATTACCATCACTTACTCACAGGCTTCTCCAGTTTATGAAACTAATCTCTCGAAAACAAAGGAATTAGGCCCCTACTCCAAACACAACCGCTAACTTGAAAGTGTTTGTGTGTAAACAAGATAACAATACCAATCGGCCCCTTTGTTATCAGTGCTCATTTCCT